TATCTACCTTCATTTATAATTTAAAAAACTATGAATTTTATTACATTAGAATAAAGTTTTTGTTTTGCACTTATTGTTATTATATTTTAAGACCCCAAATCAATACTTGAGTGACAACTTTAAGATCACATTCTTTATAGCAATTTGATTTTTTGAAATACGTTCCTTAAAATTGTTTACGCACGCAGAAGCTGCTGTACGTTCTATTTTTAGTTATTTTATTGCAAGAAGCCGACACGCTACGACGTAAATTTTATTTTTTCCAAAATGAAGTAAGTTTGTCACCGACCTTATTAAAAGTATCAATTGCGTTTTATAATCGTAAAATCTTTTTTAGCAAATGTGTTTTAATTCTACTTGTTATTGTGTCAATCTGTGCATCGACACATCAGAGAACTACCAGACACGACAATATCTATGAATCTATTGAAAGGAAATTGAAATTAAATTTTCCTGAAGATTCTCTAATGCCAAAATGCATGGTTGACGACTTCAAAACTAAAGACGTTGCCGTAAAATTTAATGAATCAGAGGTAAACTCATGGGAAAAATCTGAAATTGCAGAAAAACTGGAACCATTTTATGATGGAGCTGAAATCCAATGCAGTGTTGGACTGTTCTTACAAACTCCTTTAGGAATTTTCATTCTTATTGCAGTGTTATTGGTCATTATTCTTATTTGTTGCTGTATCATAAAGTGTGTTTGTTGTTAAGAATTATGTTTTAGTCAAGTTTTAGTTTATTTTTTCATGGTATTTTGTATATTTTGTATCTACATCAATATATGGTTTTGTTTATTTATATACTGTACATAAGTCCTGATTTTTATAAAATATTTACGTATGCAGTGGCAAGTTTTGTTTTCTTAAAATTTTCAAAGTTCAACAGAAATGTAAATCGAATTGAGATGTAAAATCATAAAACGAAGATTGATAGCCAACAAGGAAATTTTAAGAAATATTTGCTAATTTGGCATAAGTAGATATTTAATTATTGAAAATTCAATAATATGAATTGGAATAAAAGACAATCTCATAGTCTTCCAAAACCCATCATATTTCGTTTTACATGATTTCATCTTAATCTGAGTTGCACACTCAAAAAGCAAAGATTTTTTACTTTTCGTAAATATCTATGTTGAAATTTGAGACCTATTTTTAGCTGCATAGTTTTATTTTTAAATTTGAGGAAGGAAATGATTTCTGTGAAAGAAAAATTTCCGATCGTGTTTTTATGTTTCTATTTTGTGTATGCTGCGTGAAAGTAAAAGTTAACCGTTAAAATCTAAATTGTAATTTTGAAAAATCATAAAGGCCATTTGGAAATTCCTCCAGTGATAAACAAACACATCCTCACGGACGAAAAGTTATTGACGGGCGTCAGCTTTGAAAGTTTATATATACACAAATATTTTTTTAAACTCATTCATATTAGCATTCAACTCCAATTAAACTGCATCAAGATATTAAAGCATTTATTTAAAAATGAAGTAAGTATAAATTTAATTATTTGCTTTGGAGTTTAACAAGCAGAAATTCGGACTTTAAACTTTCACTTTCTTTGTATTGTGCATGTTGAATCATCATTTGCATAACAAATTTTTGTAAATGTATTCGAAGGCAAAACCACCTAACACTAAACTCTGATATTTTGTTCGTTTTTAGCAAAGTCACTTTGATTTCTTTCTTTGTTATCTGTTCCATCGCCTACATCCAAGGAAATATCATCACAAATGCCATTGATGATGGAATATACGGAGCTATTCATCAAATTTTGAAGAACCAGTATCCTGAAAACCCAGAAAAGGCTCAATGTATGGTTGACGACTTCCGTCGCAATCACGTGGCTGATAAATTTTACACTCCTGATTTGTTATTCAACAATGACAAGTTGCAACGCGAAATTCAACCATATGTTGATAAAGCTAGCATCCAATGTAACGTCATTTTATTCTTCCAATCACCATTGGGAATTTGCGTCTTGGTAGCACTCTTCTTGCTCGCAATAAGTGTTATTTGCTGTTTGATAAGATGCATTTGCTGCTAAGCTTATTCAGCCAAATACAAACAAAATGAAACACACAACAACCAATCAGTCAACCTTCATATGGAATTTTATTCTTCCTTGAATATTTCTCATGAGAACTAACAAGATATTTAGTTACATGGCTGATTATAAAATATTTTTGTTTCATCGTGCTGCAGCTACAAAGTTGTGCCTGGCGAATCTCATGGCATGATTCCTCTCAATCTTCCATTTCTTTATTTAAACCTTTTTGTATTACATCAAACATTCCGAATAACTCTTTTTTTTTAATTTTATAACCATACGCCTATGTTATAATTTTTGATCCAGTGTTTCCGCTTTTCTTCGCTAAGGTTTAATAAATAACATTTGATAAATTTTTAAGAAAATTATTTTATTAAGCTTTTATTCGATGAAAAAAGGAGAGCCAACTCAACCTTGCTCCATTACCAATTATGTACCAATATTTAAACATTTTCGGAATAAAATTTACACTGTAATAAAAACATAAAATATTGTCTTTTAACACGAAAAATTATCATTTCATCATGTTTAGGTCCTGGCAAGCGTTCAGGTAAGTGAAGTTGAATAAGTTACAGGGATCGTTAATTTATTCAAAAATGGATAATTATGCCATTGTGGACATAAATTCAAAACACTCCTTTTTATTTAGGGGGAAATTTCGACTTGATGGCACCATCGTCTGGCTATGTGTGTAGATATTACATAAAGTTTTTTTATGGCCAATTCGGACTGTTGATTTTTTTCAAATACACTAACACTACTAAATAAAGTTATTTCAAAACAAAGAAAATTTCAACATAACCAAACAATTAGCAACTTCCAAACATTTCATATTGAATTTAATCATTTATTAATATTAACATGTCAAGAATGACAAGTGTAGTCAAAACTATAAAAGAAGCTCCAAGGCTGTGGAACTTTTTAAATGGAATTGTTAATGTCTACAAACCATCTGGGATAAGCGTTGAATTCGCGAAAAAAACATTAATTTCAAATATATGCCGAGGTCTGGGAAATGAAGTCTTCGATGATATTATGAAGAAGATATCTGATGTAATTATTCTTTATAGATCTTAATAACATGAAAGGTAGACCCCAGAGAAATAGAATATCAATAGAAGGACCGCACAACTCTAGTAAATTCATCGTGAAGTCTGAACCTAACATAGCAGATCATGTACTGGTTGTTGGCGAAAGATATCAAATGGTGGATTTCAAATCAGTAGCGAGTCTACCTTTAGGAAAATTTACAAGTGGCGTTTTAAGTAAAAACTTCATTCCTTCAGATGATGTCATCAATTTTCATGTTTATTTATTATCAGTTTTAGGAATAAACCGTGGTATCGGTTTAAGTCATAAGCTAAGAGAGAACAAGCCAATAAGAGTTTATCACATAACAGGAAAATTGGGAATAGCGACTGAGTCACATTTCAATGATTCACCAGTCACAATACGCGCTTCCTTTGACCATGTAACGCTGAACAAAACGAATTCTTTCCTTGCATCTTTGCAAGCGTCTCATCAAAAGAAAATGTTTGACATATGTGGTGTCGACATACAATCACAAGCAGCTTATGAACTTGCAACTGGTGGCCCCATAAGACCAGCTCTTTCAAAAGTGCCTCTGATTTATAGTATGAAATGCATTGAATTTAAAAAACCTTACTTCACGATTGGTGAGTCATCAATGAATGTTTAAAATATTTTAATTATCTGCTAATGATTCATCTTTTTTTCTCATCAGAAATTCACGCATGTAATGAACACGAAGCGTATCTGGGAATATTGATAAATGAAATTGGCATTCATATGAAATCTGTTGCTCACTGCACACAAATTCGTTGCATCAGACAATCTCATTTTACTCTCGAAGATTCGCTGGTCAAACGTCATTGGAATGTTGAAAGTATCGTCAGCAACATCACTCGAAATAGACAAATTATCAGAGATCATCCTGACATGTTGCATCAACTCAACCCAATTCTTAATGAAGATCCAGATTTAACAGAAAAATCAATGATAAAAGAATCATTACCTGAAAATTAAATCTCTAAAAATTAATAAAAAAAACAACAAAATTAGATCATCAACTCAAATTTTTATTCGTTTTCATTTTTTTCTGCTCTGCTTTTTCTTTAACATCAAAACTATTACTTCTGTTGGATATAAAAACAGATTGGAATGAAGATTAATTGTAATAATTCCTTTACATGAACATCTAAACGAGTTGGGCAAATACTGAGTGAGGAAATTTTGAACATTTGAGGAAATTTAAAGACTTAAAAGTTGACGTTTGTTTGGTGAGATTGAAGAGGTTTGAAGGAAACTTCTTAGTCGACTTCTTCGATGGTTGGTCCTGAGCCGCCGGCTCCAGGTGCACCACCAGCTCCAGGTGCACCAGCACCAGGGAATCCACCTGGCATTCCACCGGGCATACCTCCTGCGCCTTGGTACAACTTAGTGATAATTGGATTGCAAACGCCTTCCAACTCCTTCTGACGATGTTCATATTCTTCTTTCTCTGCCAATTGATTTCCATCAAGCCACTTGATTGTGTCGTTGCATTTGTCCAAGATGGTCTTTTTCTCAGTCTCGCTAATTTTATCCTTCAATTTCTCGTCTTCCATGGTAGCTTTCATGTTGAAGCAATAAGATTCCAAAGCGTTCTTAGCTGAGATCGTTTCCTTTTGTTTCTCATCTTCCGAGCGATATTTTTCGGCTTCATTAACCATTCGTTCAATGTCTTCTTTGCTCAAACGACCCTTGTCGTTGGTGATTGTGATTTTGTTTTCTTTGTTTGTTGATTTCTCCAAAGCAGTGACATTCAAGATACCGTTAGCGTCAATATCGAAAGTAACTTCAATTTGGGGAACCCCACGAGGTGCTGGTGGAATTCCAGCCAATTCGAATTTACCCAACAAATTGTTGTCTTTCGTCATCGCACGTTCACCTTCGAAAACTTGAATCAATACACCTGGTTGGTTGTCTGAATAGGTGGTGAAAGTTTGGGTTTGTTTTGTTGGAATTGTCGTGTTACGTTTGATGAGAACACTCATAACACCTCCGGCTGTTTCAATGCCCAAAGACAATGGTGTGACATCCAAAAGCAACAAATCTTGAACTTCTTCAGACTTGTCTCCATGTAAGATGGCAGCTTGTACAGCAGCACCATAAGCGACAGCTTCATCAGGATTGATTGATTTGTTCAATTCCTTTCCGTTGAAGAAGTCTTGGAGCAATTTTTGAACTTTTGGGATACGAGTAGAGCCTCCAACCAAGACGATGTCATGAATAGTTCCCTTGTCCATTTTAGCATCGCGAATGGCTTTTTCAACTGGTTCCATAGTTGAACGGAACAAATCAGCGTTCAATTCCTCGAAACGAGCACGAGTGATTGAAGTGTAGAAATCAGTTCCTTCGAAGAGTGAATCGATTTCAATACTGGCCTGAGTTGAAGATGACAAAGTTCTCTTCGCGCGTTCGCAAGCAGTTCTCAAACGACGAAGTGCACGCTTGTTGGTTGTCAAATCTTTCTTGTGCTTACGCTTGAATTCCTGAGCGAAATGGTTGACGAGGCGGTTATCGAAATCTTCACCTCCCAAATGAGTGTCACCGGCAGTTGATTTCACTTCGAAGATACCATCATCAATCGATAAGATGGAAACATCAAAGGTACCGCCACCCAAGTCAAAGATGAGAACATTACGTTCACCAGCTGCTTTCTTGTCCAAACCATAAGCGATAGCAGCGGCGGGTGGGTCGTTAATAATACGCAACACATTAAGACCGGCAATGGTTCCAGAATCCTTTGTAGCTTGACGTTGGGAGTCGTTGAAATATGCGGGGACAGTGATAACAGCATTGCTTACAGATTTACCCAAGTAAGCTTCAGCGGTTTCCTTCATTTTAGTGAGAACCATTGAGCTAACTTCTTCAGGGAAGAAATTCTTCTTCTCATCCTTGTAGACGACTTGGATCTTGGGTTTACCTTCAACATTGATGACCTCGAAAGGCCAATGCTTCATATCTGATTGAACAGCTGGATCATCAAACTTACGTCCAATTAAACGTTTGGCATCTGAAGAAGAAAATAAAATTAAGTAAATGATGTCGCTTTAAAAAGCAATAAATAATCTTACCGAAGATAGTATTTGTTGGGTTCATTGCAACCTGATTCTTGGCGGCATCACCGATGAGACGTTCAGTATCAGTGAATGCAACATATGATGGAGTTGTTCGGTTACCTTGATCATTGGCAATAATTTCAACTTTTCCATGCTGGAAAACACCAACGCATGAATAAGTTGTTCCCAGATCAATACCAACTGCTGGAGCTTTTGCAGACATCTAAAAGATAAATATAATAAATAACAGATATATCCATTTTAGGAAACGAAAAATGAAATTTACAATTCAATGGGAAAAAACGAGAAGTTCAGAGGTTAATTATTTCTTTAGACCTTGAATTTCATGAAATATTCAACGATTTCTTACGTCAATTTATGAAATGAATAGAAACACGTAACCACAGTGCAAATAAAAATTAAAGGACAAATCATAAGGTTGGAATTTTATAACGAACGAATGAGGTAAATTACAACCACATTCAAACATTTTTCTTCTAGAACTTTTTTTCTATTTTCTCATGCGTTATGAAATTTTCTAAGAAAAAGTTATTTTATTATAACGAAAGAAATGAATTTATGCTTATATTTTCTTTTTCTGTAAATCTTTGATTAATATTTCAAGAGTTTATTGATGAAATAGTGAAAATTTGAGAAAGAAGCATCTGAGAGGTTAACTTTTAAATTAGTCACATGGAGCATGATTTTGAAGTTTTAAACAGTTTAAAATAAAAGGAAAGTCTTTTTTAAAGTAATTTGAACGAGTTTGGAAAAGAAATATTCAAGTTAGAAAAGAAAAGAATGAATTTAAAGCATAAATGATGTTTGACACCATTTTGAAAAGTATGAGAAAAATTTTTACTTCTAGAAGCTTCGAATGAAATTTCGTAATGAGAAAATTTTCTTTTAATTTTGAAATCGAGTAAAACGGAAGCAAAACTTACCTTTAAGTATTCTTAGTTTTCAGTCGCTGTATGAATTTTATTAAATATATTAAATATCACCGTTAAAAGGATTTTGCTTCAGTCTAGAGACCGTGTACTTACTTTGATATTCAATTAACGAATGAATCAGCGGCTTCGACCCCTCTCTGGTTTATATGTTAAACGAAACTTCTAGAAATTTCGGTTCAAATTGATCCGTTATGCACCTGCTGTAGTTGTACACCCTAAAAACCTTTGAGCTGGGGCCGGCGGATTTTAATTTCCATACAAAGTGGACCACTTAAAGTAACCATGTTATTGCATGTTTCAAAATTGCATTACCTTCGGAATTCTTCAATTCCTCGGCAATTGTCAACTGCTTTACAGCAACAGATCAGTGAAAATGCCGAAACATCAGAAGTTGTATATCCTGAAATATTAGACCAATCGCTTAAAGCAAGAGGAGCAAGGAAAACTTTCGAATGGCATGAAAAAATCAAAAAGATTGGCACAATTGAAGAGAAAATTATTGAATTAAACATGCCAAAATATTATGGATGGAAATGTCTTATGTTGGAAAACAAATTCTATCCTTATAATACGTTCCCGTTCTTCAAGTATGTGACTAATACGGAATTTCATGAACAACCACAAACAGCAAGAAATGAAAAAGAATCAAAACAAATCGAATCTTATCTAACGTTAATGAAGTCTGAATTACAAGAAGCAATAGAGTTTGAAATCGATGGATATAAGTAAGTTAAATAATATTTAAATTAGTTATTTTTCCCTAAACTTTATATTTTCAGGAGAGATTTCGATATTAAAGATTTAAAACTTACACCCCAAGATATCGAAAGAGCAAAGACAAGCGGTCTTGTAAAGCAACTTAATCGTATTTTAACCAATTTTTTGGGAGCTGATAATCAACATCTCTATGAAGCTGATATTGATATCGATCCAAGGCATGACGCTTTTTGGTTTGTTGGCGGAATTGATCCACCTAAGAATATTGTTAAGCAAAGAGAGAATTCTGCATGGCTTAAAGAAATAGCTGATGAGAATATAGATCGTCCATTTCAATATATTGGAAAACCAATGTTAAGTTTACGTCATCAATTTCCGCTGGAACCATTTGAAGATGTGGATTTCTCTGCGATGAACAGTCTTAACAAAAATATTCATTCATCCGATGAATTTACAATGGATCCACGAACTATCGGTTTTTTCACTGATCACAGACATGGAACAACTCTTCCAGGCTTTTGGCCAGGAAATGTAAGAGAATATGGATTAATTACGTACCAAGATAGAAACGTCTTGCTTGGCAGACCCGAAACTTTTGGTGAAGAAGATAACCAGGAAACTTTGCATTCTGTAGGAATCATATCAAGTTTTGCTTGGACTTATGCTCAGGCTTGTTTCCAAGGATTTTCAACTTACAATGACATGACTTATCCTCTTGTGACACAAACTGTTGTTACTAATGGTCAAATGTGGTCTTTCTATAAATATCAGTTGAATACAACAGTCACTCATACAAGCCCTTTAGAACCAAATTATCGTTTCAATAAGTGCTGGGGCACAAAAGAAATGAAATTGTATGATGAGATTGATGAAAAAGGAAAGCTTCAAGGTTTAAATGAAGAAGTTTTAAGAAACCTCATTCAATTTTATATAAATGAGCCTAAAGAGAGACAACACGAAATGAAGCCGTATCTTGATGAAAAAGAGAAGAAAATTGCTGATATTGAAGATGTGAAACGTCGAGATTGGTTGGAGAAAACATTCAAATATATAATGTCAAACAAACCGAGACAGCGACTCGTTCCTGAAATTTATGCTTGGGAAAAGATTTATAAAATTGATCATAAAACGAGACCACTTGATCGACGTCTTCGATTCTTTGAGTTAGGAATTAATCCGTTTGCCCGTCGATTAAATGAACATCAGCCGAAATACATCCCACGTCATTTACGTGCTCGTGGACCTCATGATCGGAAGATCTGGGAGCCAACTTATTACCCACTTGACAATCGTATGAATATACCAAGAGAAATGTCTCATTCATCGTTCGGAGCACCAAGAGACAAATATGCTTACACGTTCGATAGAAAACGAAAGAGTTACAAGTAAATAGTTATTAACTTTAAATTAGATTGTATTAATGAATTTAATAAAGAAAAATGAAAAAATTAATGAGAATATCTTTTATTTATAAAAATTGAATTTATTCGAGAAACATTTATTTAGTCTTGTTTTGTTTTTTAAGAAACTTATCAACGATCATTTTTAAAAAGTTAAATCAGGGGCAGAAAAGTTGTTAAAAGTTGAATGCGCTTAATCAAAATTTGTCTCCTTGGTTTGTTTACATCTTGTTTTTACTCGTTCAAAAGTATCGAATCAAAAAATAAAATATTTAAAATGTTAATGCAAAGAAATCGAGAAATAATTAAACTTACACATCAAATAAGATATTATTGTAGGGAAAAAGAAATTCGAGTTCGTTTTGCACCATCACCAACGGGTAAGTGAAATATATTAAATTTATTGATTGTCACTCATTTTTATGCTTCCAATTATTTTCTTATGAAATATAATGTGATAAAAATAATTTAGGTTTTTTGCATCTTGGAGGACTTCGAACTGCACTGTTTAATTATCTATTCGCGAAAGCAAGAAATGGAAAGTTTATTTTAAGAATCGAAGATACAGATCAGACCAGATTAATCGAGGGAGCCAAAGAGCAACTTTATAAGGATTTGGAATGGGCTGGAATCATTCCGGATGAAGGTCCTGCGCCAGTTTATGGTGGTAATTATGGACCGTATATCCAAAGTGAAAGACTTGATATATATGAAGATTATGTGAACAAACTGCTTGAAAATGGTGACGCTTATCACTGTTTTTGTTCTGATCGACGCCTTGAGCTCCTGAAGAAAGATGCTATTAAAGCGAGACAAATACCTAAATATGACAACAGATGCCGGTAAATATAATTGATTAATATTTTTAATGGAATAAATTTTATTACTTTGATATATTGACAGTGATCTCACACCGAAACAAATTGCAGAAAAGATAGCAAAAAATGATAAATACTGCATAAGGTTCAAATTGAGTGATCGTGGCGAGAATTTTAATGACATGATTACTGGAAATTTTGTTTATTATGTGGGACAACATGAGGGTGATCCTGTTATTTTAAAATCTGATCGATTTCCAACTTATCACTTTGCAAATGTCGTCGATGATCATTTAATGAAAATAACTCACGTGTTAAGAGGTATAGAGTGGCAGATTTCTACGCCTAAACATCTAATGATGTACAGAGCATTAGGATGGACGCCTCCACATTATGGTCATTTACCTTTGATAATGAATGCTGATGGAAGTAAGTTAAGTAAACGGCAAAATGATATCAAGTTGGAATATTATCGCAGTAAGGGAATTTTCCCACAAGCACTCGTAAATTACGTGACACAAGCTGGTGGGGGCTTTAATCGGAAACCAGATGAACAATTATATTCATATGAAATGAAAGAATTAACTCAATTATTCGATGTTACATTAATCAACTCAAATTCTAGTCGACTCAATCCTGAGTTGTTAGGAAAACTTAACAAACATGAACTATTGAAGCATCTGGAGAATCCAATAACTTGCAAGCAAATAATCGATGAAGTCAGATCTTTGATCAAAAATAAATATCCTTTAAATGCTGATCAACTTGATCTTGATGACGATCACATTCTCAATGTTCTCAAATGGGGATCAAAGCACATAACTTCAATTAATGAACTCACTGGAGAGAATCTTTCATTTTTGTGGGTGTTACCAAAAATTGCCAAGGATAAGGAAATTACTTTAAATGCAGGTAGAAATTAAAAGTTTTCTTACTTAGTAATAAATATTTTAATTGCTCTATTTAACAGACATTATTGATGAACTCGTTGAAGAACTGAAAAATGAAAATTTCAGCAAACAAAATCTCCAAACAATTTTAAAAGACTTTTCATCAGAAAAAAATTTGACTTTTGCTAGTTTCATGAAAAATCTTCGATCTACGTTAAGTGGATTAAAAGAAGGACCTGGTGTAGCAGAAATCATGGAAATGTTGGGCAGAGATACAACCCTTGAAAGAATCATTCGAATGAAAGGAAAGAAACATAAAAATTCTTGAATTTCTTAAAAAAGGAGAAAATAAATATTTAACGTTAGCAGAATCATTAAAATGTTTGCTTTTTATTTTACATTTCTCAAAAACTTTTAAGTTGTTTTGTTTATTTTTTAAGATTTTTGTTCGATCTACATTCACATGTACATATAATTAATGAGTTTAATCACTGCAACTCTTTTGGTATCAACATTGTAAATTGATTAAAGTTTTTTTAAGGATATTTCAGCATATTTTATGAATGAATATTTTAACATTAAAACCAGAGGTTTAATCTGCATTCTTAACTCATCTTGAGTTCACTTCCAGTACGAAACACAAAATGAAATTGCAAATCAAATCTACGATTGAAATTATTCAAACACGAAAAGCTTAGAAGACATAGAAACATTAAAATTAATTAAAATCTCGATCAGTAAGTACCATCGGTGCAATTAATGACCATCCATACAAAGTGAGACCAACCCATGATGAGACTATTTTGATCCACATTGATGCGGAATTCGAATTCATCGAGGCGAGAGATGAGTTTGGTTGGTACCTTAAGAAATATTTTAAACATTATTTGAAAAGTTAAGCAGAATAAAAATTTTCTTACCAATTTGTCAAACACATCATGACGTATAAAGACGCACAAGCAAATGTGAGATGGAAGATCGACCAGGAATATGCAACTTTTTCATCTTCATTGTCCCAGACTTTGGCGTCTCCATTGTTAGATCTCTTGTCATCTTGTGAAAGGGTAGCTGTTATTAATACTAAGTTTATTAAACAACACAAGATCAAATGTAATAAAGCATAAAAGTCTAACAAAAGTTATCAAATTTGAAGCTTAAATCATAACAAAATCCAATCTTGTAATTAAAATTGAATTTAAAATTTACCTTGTCGTTCAGGATCTGAATTAGTAAAAGAAGATGCAGCACTGGCTGATCGTAAAGATGAATAGAAGATAGCAAACATCCAAATTGCCATTCCAACAAGACTTGTTTTGTCAAATGAAGCTTTATTTCCTTGCATGACGTTTAACAGACCAGGATTGCAGTTGCTATAAGGACTGTTAGCGACTGCTGACCATGTTAAATAAATTGTGTACAAAGTAACTATGGCACTTTGCAATAATCCCGAACGAGGCTGTGCTTCTTGCACTTTTGGTGTGATTGATAAAATGCTGACAGCAATGCATAAAATCATGTTGAAAGAAATGAAGAATTTGTTGAGGGCGCAATCATCTGACTGGGTGTAGTAGGAGAAAAGTAAAATAATGCCAACAAGCGATGCAATGTATTGAATTGCTGTTGCTGACATAAGTGCAACGAACCATCCCTTAGACTGAGTTTCTTCATAATTTCCAACCCAAATATCAGCCCAATTATGAGCAAAGTCAACGATGAGTACAAGTTGAACAAGAATGAACCCAAACCCACCAATCATACCAATCCACATCATCCACGTTCCAAAAGCTTCATCCTTTATGAAGAAAGCTCCGACTGCGATAGCCGCTACGATTAAAATTTTCAATCCCCAAAAACCATTTTGAATCGGTGCACGACCGTCACGAGATGATCGAACGCCAATCATTATAGCGGCCATTGATACGAAGAATATCATAAGAGCAAAGCAAACACGGTAAACTGCGAGGTATCCAACGGCATTGGTACAATCAATAGTATTCGAGGACGGAATGATCATTGAGGTCGTCGATGTTGAATTAGCACAAAACGGAACTTTTCTCAGTACATCTTGAAGACCATCCGACAACATGATTGCCCCTGTGGCTGCTCCCAACAAAAGCATTAATGCATACATTATGCGGCTTGAAGTAGAATTTCTGCAAGAGGGACAAGCAGTGCAGAGACAAGATGCAGCAGTCGATGTGCAGCAGCAGGCAAGCTGTAATAATTATTGTGAAATAATGTTATTCATTTATTTTAAATATTCTTTCATCAATTATTTGCATGATTCAATTAAAAAGATGTAAGATATATGTCGATGATATGTGTAATAACTACGCCATTACGAAAATCGATTTTCTTTGTTCATTTGAAGATTTTCAAGATTTTATTTACCTGCGCTACCGAGCATAAGCCCAAAACAGCTCCCATTTTATAATTTTATGATATAAGAATTCTCAAATTTATTCTTTTCTATTAAATAACAAGAAAATGTTTTTAATTTTCTTTAATCTTTGTTGACAAATGTAATCAGATGTGATATTTTCACAAAAAACTTTCTGAAAAGTGTGTTCAGTAAAATACAAATGAGTCATAATGGACAGTTTAAATTTTAAAAATCCGTTAAAATATCTATTTATTGTACAATATTCAATTATAATTGCAATTTTAAAAGTTTTAACTAAAAACATAAAGAAAATGTTTATACAACATAATTAACACTAAACTTCAGATACATTTTTGTTATCTGGTTCAATAATACTTGAATGTTCGTGGTGCATGTCTTTGAAGGTTTGTGTAAGTCTTTTTGTTCTCGGTGGTCGAATTGGAGCATTCATGAGAGACGATGAAACTGAACTAACTGATGAAGTTGATCTTTCACTAAGAATCGGGCTCTTATGGTGAACTTTTTGCCGTCGCAAAGCTCCTTTTAGAACATCGCCATGATAGAAGTAAATATAGATTGCAATAAGCGTACATAAGACGAGAAAAAACGTGAAAATTGCAATAATAGCTCCATAAATGTTTGAAGAATTTTGTGGAGGGTTTGATAAGTCTTCATTGTTATCTGACGAAGTTTCATCATGATCATGCTCAATTTCATTTTCATCGTCTGTTGGCCATTTCTCAGTGGTGGGCTTGACTTTGGTTGGTGGTTTGAGAGTTGGAATATTCGAGACTGCTCCCTTACCAATTGCAATGTCAGAACAAGCTCTAAACTCTTCTTGATCACCACAACCAACAGCTCCATTGCCATCCGAACAAATTCCCCAATTATTTCCAGCAATGTATTTCCATTGCAACACACAATGTTGACATTCAAGTTCTGAAAATTTTACAATTTACATTAAAAATAAATAATAATAATAAAGAACGATGGTTCACTTACTTTTTGGTAGTTGAGCTTTTATTTCATAAATTCTTGAACCATTTCTTGGATAAAATCTTGTTTCCAAATCACTAGGTGCAGCAGTTGATGGTGTTCCGCTTATGACTTTCAATACATTCTTATCTAAGCATGTCTGCTTTGCATTAATATCATCACAAAGTCTGAACTCAAAATATCCCATATGACTTGCAGTGAGTTCCACTCGAATAGTGACATGTGAACCGGGATTGTATTTTCTTACTGTGACGCCTTGTCCATATTTACCACCATATTCATGGGGTCGAGGTGTTGGTAAATCCCAAGCATCTCCACATTCTCCACATTTTCCACGATTTGTTTGATGCTGACGAGTAAAACCCCCACAGAACAATTCATGATCGTTGTAGTTAGCTGGAGTGTTGAAACCATATCTGATAGAATAAAAAAGAAAACAATTAGGTATAACACAAACAAGACAACATTGTCACATGATTTTTACCTCCACGCTGATGCCCTTGAAGGAGGCTCAATGAGTCGACCATGTTGATCACTTGGTACAATTTGAATTATCAGAAATGCAATGAACAAGTAAAAAGTTGAACATTTTTTAGAATTTATCACAGAAAAGTTTCTTGGCAGATATTTCATGGTACTCTGAAAAGAATAAAGAGAAAATATTGCAGAATTACAAGTGAGTTGGCGAACAGTTACAGCGTAATTTAATATTTTTAAATCCAATTTTTATTTCCTAAGATTAAAAAGCGCAAGAAATTCTTTTCTTAGCTACAAAACAAGCTTCCATTTAGAGATTTCCTGTTGATGTGAAGTTCAATGAATTATATTAAACGTGTGCCTCTCACAGTTTCTTTCCTAACATAGCCATGTGAAAAATGTTAAAAATTCATTAAGCGAGAAAGTTTTGTTTTTTAATGAGTAGCAGGAAAGCATTTTGACAAATTATAAACTTTGTGATAAGACATAAACTTTCTTTTTATGAAATAGATATCTCAATTTGACAAGAACATTTACATATAGAAGATGGCTTAGTAAAGAGTCATTGACGTTATTTACTCTCTTGTTAGAGACTGCTATTGACTTTCGACCTCATTTTATTTTTAATAATTTTCTCACCGGTTCTGTTTGTTCTTTAAAATCTCTCACGATGATTTTTTTAAACATTTTATTAGCACATGGATAGATGTATAAAATCTGCATGTATATTTACTCAATCTTGTTAACTTAATATGTATTTATAACTTGCTTGTATAAAATATAAATAAATACAAATAGAATTTCTTATAAATGCAATTTGCAATCAATCATAATTGAAGGTACAGACTGAAGTTTTTATTTATCTGTTCAACTGTTGAGTTTGTACTTGCATTCGATTTCGCATAGAAAACTGACAATAGACCGACAAAGCTCAAGGCTGTTACCAATTCTGTTTTGAATGTGGTAAGAGAATGTTTTTTACTAAGTTTTCTTTGTTTCTGCGTGACTCATTTCAACGGAAATATCATAGTTCTTGAAAAATCAATAAAGTCGTGAATGTTAGTCGTCTTAATCATTTCCTTTTTATGAAATTAGTAGATACGTATGTATAATTAATGTTATGTTGTTTTTTTCCTTCTGAGAAAATGATATGAAAAAAGAAGAATTCTGACAAATATTAGGATAATAAAATCAGATATCTTGATCTAGAAAAACATTTATGAGTCTTCAGAATTTCCCTAAACGTCTCAACAAAAAAGCCCAAGACTTGCGATCTTCGTCACTGCTTATAATTTTTTTAACATTCATAAATATATCTCAAAAATTAACTGCCAAGGCATGAGTGTGTGTGGTTGAGGCATCAAGTGAATTTTGATAGCAAAACATTAAAGACTTTCACCACCGTAACTTCCGTTTGTTGAAATCTTAATTATGGATGATACAAAATTAAGTAAGCTGATGCTGTTTTTACAATGGCCAGCAATACTTGTTATGAGAATAATTTTTCGTATAAAAATAATTCAAACATTTTAAGCTTCACTAAAGGGTCAAGTTTATGTGCGTCCATATTTTAATCAATGATACTCAACAAAATATAAAAACTTATGCAATGAAATCACAATAAACATTTCTAAAGAAATCAATTTATGTTATATCCAAATGACTCATAAACTTATCAATCGATTCAATAGAATTCATATCATTGCATTGTTAAATATATGGAATATCAATAAAAAAAAAGCTGAAGACGATGAATGTTGATTCGATTGTTTTGTTTTACGCAATGAATTCAAGTTCGTTTATCTATAAATGGTTTATTGTGATATGCATGTTATGTTATCTAGGTAAGCAAATAAAGAAATATTTAATATTACTGTAAACTCTTCTTCATAATTAAAACTCAATCTGCTCCCAGGCAGGTAGTTTGTAACACTGAAATGAAATCTTTAGCGCGAAACTTCTACTTAAATCATGAATGGAACTACTCACATAATGTGCGTTGTTAATTAATTAAAAGAAAGTGAATGTGTCGCGATAAATCTATAAAACAATTGAAATTTTGCCAAGAAACCGTAAATAAAGCATCACGCAATATTCACACTGAAATGTGACAATACGCGACTTTTTATGACAATTATTTGAGGAAGTGGCCAAGTGACAAATGCTAAGAAGTCTTTTATAATACAAGAAATGAATTCACAAACATCATTTACATACACGCGATCGATAAAATCATTATTCAAAGTAAATAATAAGGAAAAGAGAAAATTAAGAACTTAATGGATATTTGGTCTGCTTCATTTTCCTTTTTCTTTCATTGACCCACTTCTTCATAATGCATCTACATACAAGCTAAAGCAACACACAATGCTAAAAATATGAGAAAAAAGATGTTTAAACCGTTATTATTTATAGTACGTCTGAAGAAACACGAACAGAAAGTGAAAAGAGTTGATTTTAATGTCAAAGGGTCTTGCGAAGATTTGAAAAAGATCATCAAATGTTTTTGAAGCAAAAGAAGCATTTAAAATGAAGCTTGAAAAAATTATAACTGGATATGAACGAAAATGAGTCAAATATTTGTTAAACTTTTTAAAATTACCATTTTTCAATGATGAGAGATTCCAAGTAAATGTTTATCCAAAATATCGTATTGATTCTTTTAAAATGTTTTCACTTTCTTAAAGTCAACTTGAGTATTAGATTATTTATTTTATTGCGAGTTTATAAGAAATCAGGTTTTGTTATCTAGCACAACGTTCTTTTCACTTTTTATTAATGTTTAAACACTGAACACATTTTTAATTCTAATCTTAGTTTTAAGCATAAATTAATTAATTGCTTAAGTGTAACGCTTTATCATTTCCACAAAATTTCAATTAGAGCAAATAAATAAAATAATAAAAATTTGAAAGAAACTTTTCTGAACTGACTAAAACTGTTCAACTCAAACCACCGACTGAAGAGAAAAACGAGTTCAACAAATATTAAATGTTTGGTTTTCTATTTTCTCTCTTGTGGGAATTGGTCAAGGGGCTGTTCATCGACTAAAATTGGCTGGCAGAAGCACCATTGATGCATTGAAGCACTAGACAAATTCCAAGAAAAAGAAAGCAAATTCTTGGAAAAAGTCCATTTTTCTTGAAAAGCACTAGTGATTTTTGATGCTTCATTGGGAGGCAGCCGACAGAAGCACTACGATGATTTACCCCTTGGAATTGGTAACTCTCTGCCACGAGCTTTGTGTTCATTGAGTGTGGTCAGTGAATGAAAAATTAAGTCATTACTCAATTAAATAAAAACCTTATGATTAAGTTGACATGTTACATCGTAACTTATTAGTTAAATGCATTGATATCTCAGAAAAAAGCAAATTTTGGCTAGATTCAGAAAATCCATCAAAAAACTTTAATTCTGGTCTGAACAAAATTAAATCAACAAGCTTCAGAAGTTTTTTAATTGATTTATAAATTTTTATGAATTTTAATTTTATTCAAAGAATAAAACGCTATTCACCAACCTAAGAATTCCTAAAGTTAAAGAATTTTTTTCAGTTATTGGTTTTATCAAAAATTCATCTTAATTTAATAAAAGTGCATTTTGTTTAATCTGTAAATAATTTATTAACGTAACAAAGCTTTTTGTAAAGTTTTACATCGAGCTTAACGTACTCACATGTAGTTACGTACTTTTAGTTAGGATTTACATAACGTACCACGTAGAAGACGCACGTTTAATTATTATGTCTCCTCAGAGTTAGTTCAGTCTTCAAAAGTAACAAGTTTACAAAGTTTCTTTTTCAAACATATTTATTTAATAAAGATAGTAAAGCTCATAAGTATTTACGGTTTAGTAACAATTTTATTTAAGTAATAAATGAGATATATTTCTAAAAATCATGAATACAACTAAGATAACAAATACCTGAATAAAAAAGTAACAAAACTTTTGTTCAATGGTTCAGAAAGAAATGAGATAATAATTATACAATTAATAATGAAAATAAATACTTCTAATGGATCGAAAGTCAAACAACTTATTTGAAGTCGTATCCCAAGGTGATGAAGCTGCTCTTCAAAGGTTGTTGCTTGAGCGTAAGGAAGAAAGAAATATCGCGACCCTGGCTGTAAGTTATTTATTAATATTAATTTTATGTTTATTAGTGAATTATAATAATCAATCCCGTTTTTAATCCTCAGCATGGGAACACAGTACTTCACGAAGCATCTTGGAAAGGATACAGTCGTTGTGTGAAAATACTTTGTAATGTTTATCCGAAAGATTTTGATGAGAATTCAAACAAGGAGAAGTTGGATTGGAAGAAAAATCACTTCGTGAATCGAATCAACTTCTGTGGATTCTCAGCACTTCATCTTGCAGCACAAAATGGACATAATCAGACATTGAGAGAATTGCTTTATGCTGGATGTAGTACATCAATTCATAATGATTATGGTGACACGCCACTTCATACTGCTTGTCGCTACGGTCATGCGGGTGTGGTTCGGATTCTCATCTCAGCTAAATGTGATGTTGATGCCTTAAATCTTAATCATGACACTCCACTTCATATCACTTGTGCTATGGGAAGGAGAAAGTTAACGAAGCTTCTACTTGAAGCTGGTGCCATGCAATTTCAAAATTTGCAACACGAAACGCCTCGAGACATTGCCCAGAGGAAAAATCTTAAAGAGATTCTAGAAATCATGAGGAATTGCACAAAGAGAGAAGATAAGCAATTAACTCAAGAATCTCCTCGAAATACAAAATCCCCAAATGAAACTCACGCACATCTCTTGCCTCATAACAGTAAAATTAAGTACAATAACAAAGACAATGAAGAAAATACTCGTAATTGGTCACCTTATGGTTGCCATTATTATCCTGACACTAGAAACTTCCCGACACCTAATCTCGAGACACTTCCCAAGGAACCGCTTCAGAAAGGTGAACAATATTACTTGGACTTGGGTGGCAACATTCGAAAAGGTCCAGTAGGGAAAGGCAACAAATGCTTCTGTGCTTCACATAACAACAACAGCAATGCCGAAGATGCCTTTAGAAATGTTCATAAACTTATTGATGGTAGCGATGAATTCATATTGAACAAGGAAATGACTGCAGCAACATCAAAACATGTAGGAAGCAAAGAAAGACATGAGAATTCTCGAAATCGAGAAAGACGTGGCGAAGATCCACTTTACCCTTTGCTCAAAATTGTTGGGGATAAGAATAAACAAATGCACTTGAAGAAATGGCTTACAAAAGTCCATCCGGATAATGAATCAGAAGGAAATGATAGGAGGAAGGAAGTTGCAATTGATGTTCACAAAGAACTTAATTATAGTAACTCGAAAACTACCCAAAGCAGAACGGCGAAAGTAATGTCAAGTTACGATGAGAATGGAAACCAAGCAAACAATGAGGATGAAGATGACGAAAACTACACCGACATTTCAAATGAGACTGAAGATGAGTCTGGAAATGGTTCAATCAACAGCAACAATGGAAATTGTCTCTACGATGAGAGTTTTCTAAAGAATTTTCAGGATCAACAAATCGCACAGAATTTTCATCAAAATGAGTCGTTAACATCGCCGAGTGTCAACAGCAATCAAAACATTGAAATGGAAATGGAAAAGATCACAAAATCTTTGTTAACAGACGGAAGTTGTTTGATGATCAACAGAAATCCTGACGTCATTAAAGATCACATTCATCATAGTGCCAAACGAAGTACAAAAAAGATCAAAAGTGCCATCACGAAGCCAACAGCATCAACAATTTTAACTTCTGGTGATCTTTATGTGAATAGCTTTTTTACAAATGAGAAGAGAAGCGAAGTTGGTGATGAAGTTGATGGAATCGAAGATTTAATATCAAAGGTTCATTCATCTATCATCAACTCATCTAATGTTTCAACGGTTTCATCACAACAACGACAACCTTCAGATGGACAAATTTTATGCCATGACGACGTTTCCCATTGTAAGGATGTGTGGAATCAAAAGGGAAGATCACGAAATCCTCTGCCACTTGACATCAACGAGATTGAAAATTATGGCGACAGAATATTTTCTCCCGAAATGTCCGATCTTCTAGCAAAGGAGGCAACTTCAGATGACAAAAATTTAGTATTACTTGACCAACTTCTTAAAGCAAGGAAAAAGTTCAATCAAACATACCAAGAACAGCTTCGAATTATGAATCAACATGAAATTCGACAAACCCACCAGGAGACAACAAGTACTAACAAAAGTAATCAAGAATTTGACAACGAATTTACTGTTCCCAGTGCTTCCACCTTAGTTTAAAAATTTAGATAACTGAAGCAGCTATTTAATTAAGTAATTGTTTAATATTCTAATTAAAGCATTCCTAATAACTTTCGTAAATTTATTGCGTAAGGTTCAAATATATCACGTTCTCTTTTATATGAATAAATATTTTTATATTCCATCTATAAGAAATTTGTGTAGATATTCATTTTATTTTAGAATAATATCTCTTGGATTTCATACCGCCCACTCATCTTCATAAAAGTATTTATTACAGTTTCTTCTTTAGAAATTTTATTCAAGTAAACGTAACGCTAAACTTTTGCGTTATTTCCGTCTTTCATTGTATTAAGTAAGTTTGTCTTTAGATATAATTCGTTTCTCATTGTTTACAAAGTAAACAATAAGGAAAACTGTTGATATCTAAAGATATTGTAAAAATGAAATGACAATGTTTTTCTTTATTGAGTAATCAAATTGGCGCCATACATCGGTAAGAAAAGCAAAATGAAAATAATAAAAGTGAAGTAAAAATGAATTAAACAAACCTCCAATAATCCAGAAAGGTAGGGCCAGCAGTCATCAAACTTTCGTTACAGCAATGTAAATAAACAATTGGCCAATTATTTATTATTGAACTTGCATCAGTAAAGAAATTCCTTGTTTTTTATTCGTTTTATTTTCTTAAAACTTTTTATATATTTTCTTAGATTATAAAATTGGATAAGAATAGAAATTTACTTATTTTTTATTATTATTAATTAGAACGATTAAAACATTTAGATATTCTGACGACACTTTTAATGGAACGCGTTCGCACGTTTAGAGCTTTCGAGTACCTTAACGTTCTGTGTTTCCTGAATATTTTCACATTACGAACAAAGATTTTCTCTTTTTTCTTTCATTTAATGGAAAAAAGCAATGAAACTTTATTTACAATTCTGAATATCTGTTTTCACATTTGCCACACATTGTGGGTGTTTAATATTTTTTTCTTCTCTTAGGTCATTCTCTCGTGAAGTAACAGAAATAATCTTAACTCCCAAGATTCATAAGAAGAGGAATTTAAAATTGTTCATCGTTAGCGATTATTTAAGTAAATAAATAATAAAAATTAAGTTTCTCTCTTATCGGGAGTGGAAATAAAACAAATAATCATATCTACATAATTAAAAACAGACTGTTAAGTAAACAGTTTAGGTTTGTGGACGTCCGCCGATTACTTTTCATCTTTCAACATTAGCAGTTTTAAACAATAATATACATACGTTGGAAATACGGAGTTTCATTAATTTTCAATCGATCTTTCTGCAACGATTATGTTTAAATGTTTAAAATGAAAATGATTAAATCTCGTCTGTCTTGAACGTTGAAATCTCATCTGCTTTGGATTATTAATTTCTCCATTACTAGAAGCTTGTACGTGTAACTTTTGTTGATGTCGGCACCATTGGTTGGTGATTATTATGGCGATTCCGAGGGTTTGAAGAACCACAATAAACAATCTGTCGATGAAGAGTAATGAAATTTTTATTACATACAAGGAAACAAGAAAGAAAAGAATGAAAGAATGAAAGATGAAAGGAAAAATCGATTAGCAAGTTTATTACAAATCATTAGAGTTGACTCATTAAATTAAATGGCCATTCATTCACAACATATGGCCTTACAATTAACTCACCTTTCTGAATGATTTCCGGAAATTTTCTGATAAGAAAGCATAGAGCAATGGATTGATGCAACAAGTTGTGTATGCAAGACAATGCGCACTTATTTGCAGCGCAATGGTTAGATGAGTGTCTGAATGATAAAGTTGAAGACTTTTTAATAGCAAAATTGTTTGAATTGGCAGCCAAAGTAACGCGAAACACGCAACAACTACAATAACAAGACGAGTTACTCGTCTCTTGCCCCTCCTTGATTCTTTCGATTGTGTTAAATTGCTTTTCCACAGTCGCATCAGCATAAAGAGATACAAAACTGATATGAGAAGAAGCGGCAATAAATATGAACTTGTGAACAATGAGATATGAAAGGCACTCCAGGATAAGAAATCATTGTTTGTGATGAAAGTGCATGACGTTAAATTCCTTCCTTGATCGAGATATTCATTAAGTCCGTGTGCATGAAATACTGGCAGGTTTGTCGATAACACTGCTGCCCAAAGGACTATAATCGATATCAAAGTATTCCTTTCACTGCGAATTCTTGACACTGGATAGCAGACAGCAAGAAATCGATCCATTGACATTAATACAAGTGTGTAGATTGAGATATAAGCAGTCACGACAATAAGATACTGAACTATTTTACACCACAACAACCCAAAAGGCCATTGACCAAAGCTATAATCAACAGCAGTAAATGGGATGCAAAATATGATGAATAAAAGATCTGCCAATGATAAGTTGAGGATAAGTAAGTTTGTAGTGTTGCGCATTTGAACATTAAACAAGACTGTAATTATCACTAATATATTTCCAACAAATCCAATAAATCCAATAACAGAAAAGAACATCGGAACGACGATTGAAATTGTCCTTTCAAGTCTTTTTTCTGCCTCAAGCGCTTCATCACTCATTGGAGGTAAAACGCTCGAAAAATCAATCTCTTCAAGACTGCTCATTATATTTAATTTCTTTAATTGTCCTTTCTACTTTTATTTGTTCTTTTTTTTCGAATAATTTGTCGCCACCGTGTATGTGTTTCAACTTATTGCTTCTTTATTCGTAGTCATTACTAATTATTTTCATTATACAATTCATCTATCAATGCAATCACATCGTTAATTCATTTATCATCATAAAATGTTATCGTCTTTTTTTTTCTCTTTGATCTGCCCGTGCATGCCAATCGTATTAATTAAAGGTTTTAATTCTCCAATTTGCGTGGAAATTATAATTTCACAAGAGAACTTCTCCGTTTAAATATCGTTACTGTTCAGCAACACAACATCGACTGAGAAAAGTATTCGATGGAAAATTAGGTTTTATTTTCTATGGAAAAAGCAAACGTTTTCTTACACGAATGAAAATAATTACATAAATTTGTGTCCATGAGCGCGCAATTTTCTTTTTTTTTATCTCGCTTTTACACCGGCATTTAATAAAGAATATTTGGAAATATCTACAGAAAAAAGTTTTTTTCTTTTCTGATTTTTAAAAGGGAATCAATTTGCAAATTGATTAGTTTCCTTTGTTTTTTGGAATATTCTTAAATATGCCACAGTGTAAGAAAATACGATGTTTACATTACTTGCAGGCCTTTAATTCCTTCATCATGAAATAAACATCGAGAGTTTCGTCTATCAATTTCAAGTCGATTTCATTGATGTTCTTTAGGGTTTTTCGAATGTCAAACAACTTTAAAAGATGAGTCAATGAGGTTAATTGTACAAGAAAACATCTGGTGAAGATCTTTAAACGGTGAGAACGCTGCTTGACGCAAGCAGGTTCATCTCAATCATTAAAAGAAATGAAGGGAAGTAGAAATAACAATTCCTGTTGTCTTTAATGTTTTAAGGATTCAAGTTATTGGGATTGGAAGAAATTATTAGAAAGTTATTTAAATATCTGTTCTGCTTTACTATCATAATCTTTGTCTTGCCAATTATTAATATTAAAACAAACATTTGATACTTACTTTTGAAAAGAATCAGATGCCTTACTAATTACCTATAAGTAGGTATATAAGGTATGTACCTATGTGTTTAAACGTTTATATAGCACAAATTATAATTTATAATATTTAATTAAGCCGAACAGTTTATTTATAAAAGAGATTCACGAGCAATTAAAGCAGAAATTATTAAATGTTTACAGTGTAAAAAAAATTGCTGACAGTCGGGGGTTGAATCGTGGACACTGAAAAGATGTTACAACTCAATTTAAGTTTTCATTCTGTTGTTTTTTTTTCGATTTCAGTAAAATCACGTTTTATTTTCTTTTTAGATATTTTCGAAGCACCGAAGGAACAAAAAGAAAATTTTCTATTTTGTACACTTTAAAATTAGTCAGATTTTTTTTACAGAAAAACAAGAAAGCTTCAAACATTGAAAACGACCAGCGTAACTTGAAAATGATTTTTTGATATCTAATTTAAATATTTTTCCTAAGTTCTTCAGTTTCATTATAATTTATTGTTCATGTGTGAAATGTTGATGATGATAGTTTGAAACTTAGTTACAATGGTGATGAAAAAGTGAAATTAAGTAGTTTAATTTTCAATTCATTATATGATTATCTAAATAAATATAATGTATGTGTGTTAATGTGTGGGTGTATGTACATATCTAAAATCATTTATTTAACGCATTAAGTAAATTTATATGAATGGGGCTTTCACGCCAATCAATGATTGTTTTAAATCTTTTAAGTTTTTTCATCTTTAAATATATTTTATGATTGCATTTTGTAGGATTTTTGGATAAGAAACTCACATTTGTCTAATGTAAAAATCTTTCAAACACTTTCATTAAACTTGATGAACAGACAATGAAGAGTTTTCATTTCAAATCATTCTTTCTTCAAATATTCACATGGAAAGCAATTAACTAACTCAAATTCATATTTTTTTTGCTTATTTTCAAATTTGTCACAGATTAAGCAAAATTCTCGTCGATAAATGAAGAAACATAAATTAAGTCAAGAAAATTCAGTGATGAAGAAATCTTTTAAGGAAATGGGAAAACTTGAGTCACAACTCCGACTCCTTTCGTTCGACCATCGCGTAGAAGCAATGACATTCCCACCTTCACGTATTCAGGGCGGATAAGAAATCGAAAAACGCAAGAACCAGTGTCGTTGGCGCAAAGAGATTCACGTCCAAAGATACCTTCAATGACTGCTGTTTGTCGGATACTTCCGATATGAATCGTGCTCTGAAACCCTTTCTTGATACCTTTTATGCTTGCATGTTGGATGACTACGATTGTCGCCTATTAAATAATTTAAAACGAATATTTAAATGTTAACAAATCTTCATATTCAATTACTTGAAAGAAAACACAAGCCAGTGTTTCATCAGAGTCAGCAATAAGAACCATTCCGCTTCGTAGTAATGGAAGTTCATTCGTCATTGAAAAGCACACGCTAGCACTTTGATTAGGTTTTATACTTTTACAAGGAAACTTGTTGCGATGAATTGATTTGACAGTTCCCGAATAAAATTCTCCATTTGGCCCTGGACCGCATTTGATTTTCATCTTTTCGTTCATCGTTCCTTTCACAAGAAGACCCCCAACAATTGTTCCAACACCTTGCACACGGAAAATCTCATCGATATGAAACTCTGGCGTTTCCTTCTCAAGCTTTTGCTGCTCGTTTTCATTGATGTTCGGTGTCAAAGTGAAAAGATATTTTTGAACAAGATCCAAACCAGCACCCGTAACGTTCGAAACGGAAAAAATTGGAATAAACTTCTTACTATCTTCTTTCATTACTCGAAAATCATTTATAGAGCCGATCACTAACGGCGTTTTATGTTTATCAATCTCATTTAGAAGTTGAATCAATTGTTTTAGTGTTCCAGCATCGTCGGGAGAAACCAGATCAATTTTCGTTAAAATCACAAAGAAAGGAATCTTAAAAGCTTTTATGATTTGAAGATTTTCGATCGTCATTTGGTTTAAACTTCCACTAGCAACAACAAGCGCGATGAAATGTGGTGCATATCCACTAACAGCTTGAATTGTTGTCCGCATATACCTTCGATGACCAGCCAAGTCCATGAAACTAATAAGTTTTGACGATAATTCGCTGATTTCTTCAGCTGTCATCATTTCATTGTGCTTATAATTTATGACATTTCCAGCTTCATCGAAACCTAAAAGCTCATGAGAGATGCAAGAAGTTCTTCCAGATTTAATCTCATGATAATGACGAAACATTTGCAGACGCGCTCTACCTCGACCATTGTCTAATTCACCCTGAGTTAAAACTCCTATCAATGAACTCTTTCCTGCATCAACACTTCCCATTACACTTATTCGAATTTCTTCAATATTTTTATTATCAGACATCTTGCGAACAAGAATCTCAACACATGACTTTCCATTGTCCAATGATTTTCGTCTTAAAATCGATGTTGTGGCATTCAATTGTGCTGCCATTATTCGAAGAGTTGTCAATGAACTTTTCATATCAAGATCGTTTAATCCATGAAGGAATCCTGAAAGTAATCACATTGTTTAGACAAAATAAATATGATAGAGAAATGTTTTTATATCATACCAGAATCAGTTACGCCTATTTCGTAAATAGCTTCACCATGTCCTTCATTTAATCTCCATTTCAATTGCGTCACAAGATGATCTAATCGTTGCTTCGATGGATTTATCAATTTCAACTTATATTCTATGTTACCAAACTGCGGTTCTGGTGGTAAATGATTATCCAATATTTTATCCATCGAATCAGAATCACTGCTTATAGTCTCGGTGTCAGTCTCATCAGTTTGCCCATCAGATGGGTCGAAGAGGCTGCAGAACGAATCCATTATATGTCCTTCTTTCTTTTAATTTTACGAGGTTTTGATGGCCAATCAGCTAAAGAATTATTGCAAACAGAAAGACTCAAATCAATTGATCATTTTTTCTCAAGTTCACGCAATAAATTTCTAAGTAAGCTTCATATTTTAGTAAATAACTTTTTGTTAAACATTGATTAATGCATAAAATAATAAATAATCGACTTTGAGGAAGACCGAAAACGAGTTTAAAGCAATTAAAAAGTTCAAAGAACTTCTTTTTTCATTATCACATAGCATTTCAAATGTAATTGAAAAAAGATTTCATCACAATCTTTTCAGCTGTTCATAAATAATGAAATAACAATTCTTCAAGTATTTTTTCAATATGTATACTGTAAAAGGCTGAATACTAATATTATGACTAATTATACAAAACTCCGCTGATATTTTAACAAAACTTTTATATTTTAAGTAAAAGAAATATAAACACTAATCTTAAAAAAATATAACTTTTGATTGTTGCTAAGTTTTCATTAAGTATGTACTTATTTAAGTTTGCACAATAACGTATCATGATGAAATTGACATTAAAAAAATAAATGAAAGTTTACACTTTTAATACAAAATCCAGACGAGACGCTTTGTGAGATTGTATTTATGTTGGTAACATTAAATGTGGATCAAGCAATACAGTTACAGATTAACAGTATAGCTACTTGTTTTGATTATTCAACAAATAAAACAACAAAGAAAAGTAATTTAACGCGGCAAAAATGTTTTGTTTCAAGAAAATTATCTAAGTTTTTCTTTTCCAATAAAATGTTTATATGTTAGAAACTTCCTGCATGTGCAATTTTAAATCCTTCAAAAAAAAAATTTTTTATGGCGCAAAAATAAATTATTTTTTGTAATTTTTAGGTAATAGCCACACGTTCCCGAAATTCAATAACAAATTACCCTAATATGCATCTATAAATAAAACTCATTTCAACGTGGCAACATTCGCAAACGACCTCGACAATAACATTCTGATTTTTTTTTCAGTGAAAGGTTTTAGTTTGCATTTATTGAATTATGGAAATTCTCGCAGGTTTTCGAAAGAATCTCACAAATAAGAAAGTTAAAAACACATCACTTGCGTCATTTTTGTTTATATTGTTATTTTCTTTGTTTATTTTGATGATTTTTCAACTCTTCTTTGCTTTTTCTATTTTTGTTTTTTCTCATCAGCTGGCTATTTTACAAAAAATTTCTCTTGAAAAATCTTTAGCTTTGTCACAATCAAAACAGTTGCACTTATGAACTTCTCATTAACTGACCTGGAAATGTATCTAACTATTATAACTGTTTTCCCGTTCTATATGTGAGGAATCATTTTTTTAATTTTTAATCGATTTTAATAATATTAACGCTTGGATTTTTGTCCTCTTGAAGTAGCTTTTCGCTTTTCCTAGAGGATAAATTGTTAGAATTATCGTCTGAGATGACACTATTTTAATATAAACAGACTGAAAAGATATCACAAGAAAAATAAATATTTTCAAATAAATTGATAGATATGGAAGATATTGATTCAATTAAAAGTGCACCAATGTGCGAAGAAACTGTGCTTTGGTTCGAATTTCTTTTGAAACCTGAATTACTTGAAGGATTTCTGAAAAATGAGAAGGAAGGTTCAGCACATGCAATATCTGTTATGGGTGAATTTTTGGGAATCAGCGGCAATGAAAATCCACAACAAGTAAACGAAATTAATTCACCAGATTCAGATTCACTAAATAAATGTGAAAGTTTATCGCTTAAATTGGGAAGAAAACAATTAGCACTTAAAATTCTATCACTAAAAGTCGCTTCATATCTTAATTTCAATCTTGAGATATTCGAAAAATGTCTACCAATACAAAAACAGATTCAATTACTTAGTGATCTTGCTTCGGTTGCTTCTGGAAGACTTGTAAACTTACCCTTATCGCTTGTTCATGAAGTTCCATTATCACCAGAAGGAAACAAAGCTGCACTAAACTTCGCTCTTACTTTGTATCATCGCTGGTTGCTAAGAGCTCATGTTTTAAGAGGAAATGCTACAAGATCTAAACCATTTGTTCACATTATGACTACTCCTGATCAACCAAATAACAATTCCAATCCTGATGACAAATTTTTTGCCGGCATCGAACCATTCACTCCGTCAAGCATTGAGTTCCTCAATCAAATCATAGACGACCCCGATCCATTTCGAATGCTCACATTTGAATCCTTCGTTCCACTCAAAGAAAGCTCATCGAAACTTGAACCATACAATGGACAGAAATTTGACAAGTCAATCATCATCAGTAAGACAGAACTGAAAGCTCAAATCTATTATGATCTCTGTGCTTATAACATATTCATCAAGAAATATGATATCGGAAAGGAGATGATACTTTTATGCAGAGACAATTTAAACAAGCTAAAACAAGAGCATGATGGTAATCTCTCGAGTAATCGTTTTTGTACTGTGACAGATGATGATTTACGTGGCTATCTATTAGCGTGTGGAATATTAGATCACAAATCAACAACACTTTTTCAACGTTTCAACGAATCAATTCTTAACAAGAGCAATGATCTTGAAACTATTTTAAATGAAGATAATTTTAAACGAGAGATTCCTTTTATTCACCGTAAAACTCTTGAGGTTGAACAAGATAAATCAGGCAATGAATATTTTAAATTGCTTGCATTAAACACGATTCGATTCGTTCTCGATACTAAAAATATTTTAACAAGCGATACTACAACATTGAATCTTAAGGAAAACGCAAAACGATTAATTTTTCTGAAATATTTCATTCAGGTAAGTTTAATTGCTTTCTCTTATGCAGATTAATTTCTTTATATGTTTTTTATTTTTTTAGTATTCAAACGACATTCATCAGAAATTGTCTCTCAATGAAAGATTCAGCATCCGAAATTATCTTCTAAACTTCCTCGTAACATTTTCATCGAATGAAACTGAAATCAAAGAATCAAAATATTTTGAGAAAAATGAAGTTGAAATATTTAAAAAGCAGAAGATTGGAGATCCAAATATTCATCCATCTGGCATTGGATTGTTACAAGATTGGAATATTCCAGACGTTAAAAATCACAATGATATTTTATACTCGAAAATTCTTTTCGGCGATCTTGAACGAAAGCTTGTCGTGTGCATGTCACCCAAGCAAATAAGAAAACTTCTCGTCGAACTTGCCAAATTCAATCCACAAATGCCGTTATGGGCGATCAATAAAAATTGGTTCATTCCTGCTGATGTACGTATCGCTGTATTAAATCTCAAACGAGGGTTTCTGCAAGATTTTGCTTACATTCTTCTTGGAAAGTCAAATGAATTGCTTCAGAAAAAAGACTACACCACATCCATCAGTTTATTGACTGAACTTCGATCAGAATCAAAACGTCCCGAATGGTCGAATGACATGAATGTTAATAAACTTGGAAAATTACTCGATTGGGAGAAATTCAACATTCAAATTATTCAAAGGTTGGAGAATTATTGGCCGAACAAACCGCCTACTATTAAAGATCCTTGGATAGTTAAACTCAAGCAGATGGTGGGTGGAATCAACAATGAAATGCCTCGATTGGAAATTATTGAAAACTCCATGTTCATGCTGTTGAATGTTAATGACTGGAACAGTTGTCTCATTCCAGAGAGTAATGCAAGTTTATTCACTGAAATATGTTCAATATTTTCTGCAATGATGGTGGATATGCAACAAGATACCAAAAATAAAAATCTTCTACCAAGAAAACGAGAATTCTGGGATTTCATCCTTCCAATTTTCCTCAACAACAGTATTCAACAACAGAATCAAAACCCTAAACGGAGTCAAAATAACAGAAGATCAAGCGAATCTCCAGCACGCTTTGTTGCATCAGCAATGAACATTTCAGTGTTTAAACAATTTTTGGACAAAATGAGAGATTCTTTTGCAATTTCAATTTTACTCTCAATGCTTTCAAAAATGCATAATCTTTTGAAAGATGACACTAACATGGAGCTTAGCATCGAAAACTTCCATTTATGGCCTCAAAGTATTAGTAATGTAAATGGTTATAACTTGAAGCTTCTGGCAGAGTCACTTAATCAGCTTCTTAAACTTGGATTGAAATTATATCCAATGAACATACCTTGGATTAAATTACAGGGAGATCTTGAATTTGTTAATGGTAATAATGAAGCTGCTATGAAGTATTATGTACAATCAATTATTATAGCAACTGAATGCTGTTCACTTCCAATGCAACGTCCATTAATTGACGAGAACATAATCAAAAAGATGGTCAAATGCAGTTCAAATCTTGGATGTTTTCTTCAATCAGCTGTTCTTTGCCAATTTACAGAAGAAATTGATTACACAATGGCATTTAAGTGCTTGCAGGAAAAGGCCGGAAACTTCCAGGATGCTATGGATGCTTATTACTCGTTAATTTGGGATTCAACACTTCTGGAATACATTATAAATCTGCATTACAAAAAAGGAGAGCATAAGCGAAGACTTCAAGCAATCTCTTTTATTCGACAAATGGAATTGAATTCAAACAATAATGAAGACATCAAACAGAGAGCAGCGGCAATCAGAAAAATTAAATTCATGCGATCTTTGGCAACTCAATATATGTAAAAATTTATTATAGGAAAGAAAATAGTTAAGAAAATTTCACTGTTGTTAATCATCTTGAACAAATATGAAAATCAAAATATTGAATAATTTTTATTGGTGAAAATGTTTATACAATAAAATTTCTTGTTCTCAACCAAATCTTTTGTTTTGATTTTCTCCTTAACGAAAAAAGCGACATCTGTAAGTGAATTCACGAAAGACATTTTTCCCGCGTCAAGGAGTAGGTGACTATTTATAAAGATTTGAGTTGAGAGAAATGAAAAATAATAACATAAATTAATTAAATACACATATTTATTCCATAATATAATAAATTCTACATGATTTAAACTGTAAATAAAAGTTAATTCTTAGAAAAACATGGATGCAAAAAGAAACTTAGCATATGAAAATCATAAACTTACTGTCAAAAGATGGGAACGTGAATTTCAGAAGAAAAATAAAAGAATACCATCAAAAGTAAGATACACAAATTTACACTGCTTTCGTAATTTATTAATAGTTTAATTTTTACTTAGGATGATATAAGAGATGCTCCAACAGAAGTTCGGCAATCTTATAAAATGTATTACAAAATGAAAACAGAGATTTTATCTCTAGAACTTAGCGGAGCTTTAGAAGAGGAAGATACGGAGATAAGTTCAACTCAACCCAATTCCTCTTCATACTTTTCATCAGAACTTGAGGGATTTTCTGAATCTTATAATGAAGTTTCACATATAAATGAATCATATGATCAATCGCTGACAGAAGAGAGAAAAGTAAGCGCTCAAGATAATCAAGACTATGAAAATTATCACAATGAAAGCATCAATAAGGATGTGTGGAATGAAAAATTAAATAAAAAGAAATCAATGCCACATCAGAATAAAAAAATTTTGCCAACGCTAGATGGTAATAAGAAAAAATGGAGTCTAATGATGGAACCAATAACACTGAAACCACTCAGAAATCCAAGAAAACCTTTTTCTAAAAACAAACTAGCTACAAGTAAAAGCTTGGTTGATTTCCATGAGAATAAAGAAACATTACCAGACCTTGAGACGATTCTTTTGCAGAAAACGAGATCAAAAATGTTACCAGAATTAAAAAAGATTGAATCAACTTCTGTTCAAATAAAAAATTCTGTTAATGATGGATGGTTGGAAAGGAACACAATAACAGTCTTAAGCTCATTGAGTCACTCAGAAATAAGCAAAACATCGTCATCTTTAACAAACACTTCAAGTTTTGGGTTGTCTAACTTAAATTTGAAATCATTTGCTTCATCTTCATCTCTCATTTGCCGTGAAAACAGCACTGAAATCAAGTTTCATGCTTCAAATGAATCTGAAAATGAAATTATAGGAAATAGTGACGATGAAGATTTAGGAGCATTGAAAAGTCCACCACTTTTACCTGTCGCTAAGAAACGTCGATTATCCACTGAAAATTTATTAGAATCTCCAAAAAAAGAATCTTCACTTCCTGAAAAATCTCAAACTCTAGAAACAATCAAAGAGTTTAACGATTCTAAGGATCATTCAAATGATTCTGAAATCGAAAGCAATTCTCCTGTTATGAAGCGAAAGCGAAGCATGTTGACACGTTCAAAGAAAGGGATTTCAAAAATCACAGAAAAAGCAAAAAAGATCTTCAAACAAAGTAAGAAATCATCGAAGAAAATGAAGGATGAGACTTCAGAAGAAAGAAAAGAGGATGAAGAAGAAGAGATTAATTTTATGATTGATTCTGATCCTAAATCATTGACGACCGTGCCTCGAGTATCGCAAAAAGAACTTAATATGACTGAAAAAATATTTAATAATTATGTCAATCAAGCTAATACAATGCCATCAACATCAAATAACACAAGGACGATCATCGATTCAAAAACTGCTGCGAAAAAGGAAATTCTGAAAAAGAAAATTGCAGCAGGAACATTAAATGACAATTTTGTGTCAGTAAATTTAAAGAAAAAAGTTTTTGTGCGAGGGAAGAAAGCTTTCAGTTTCAGTAAATATAAGAAGACAATGTGGAAAAGTAAGAAATCAGCAGCAGCTGCTTTGTCAGGACCAAACATGGATATGAGAGGATGTGACGGTGGCGTTCTCAAATGTTTCACGTGCGGTGGTGTCGGACATTTTGCTCAACAATGTCAGAAAAAAGGCGACAATTTACTTCCTTTAGATGCTGATTTTAAAGATGAATCGCCATTTCCAACACTTGAAGAAGCTGCACAGATGGCTAGCGCTAAAAAACTTTTAGTTCATTCAACAAAACCCGACACGATGCCTTCAACATCAAATGAAATTTGGAAAATGATCGACGAGGAAAGTGACGATGATGAGGAGTTTGATGATATGGAAGAGCTCGATGAAATATTGAAATGTGATAAAGAAAATAGAGATCGAAATTCTGAGTTAATAAATCATCCAGATGAAGCAACAGTTTCAGTAAATTCAAAGGTAAGAATTGAAAATTTATAAAAAAAAAAAAATAATTTAAAATTTTAACTCTTTTCTTAGGTTTATATTGGACAAAAAATCCCGGAAGATTTCTTGAAACGATCAGGAATTCTGGATGAAATGTGTGGGAGTTTCAATACAGAAATTAATCCTGTTTACAAATTGAATTCAGATGGAACTCTTCCAGCAACGCCAAAAGAAGTTTTTGAAGCATTGAACATGTTTGGATTCAAAGAATTTCGTTGTGGTCAAGAGCAGGCAATCATGAGAGTCTTGTGCGGTATGTCAACACTTGTTACGTTAAGCACAGGCAGTGGAAAGTCTTTATGTTATCAACTTCCTGCATTTCTTTATCGCAAAGTGAAACAATGCATAACTTTGGTAATTTCACCGCTGGTCTCATTGATGGAGGATCAAGTGCATGGAATTCCTGACTTTTTAAACGCGCAATGCTTACACACAAATCAAACTCCAAAGCAACGTCTGATGACAATGGAAGCAATAAAATCAGGAAAAGTTGAAATCCTTTTAGTGTCGCCAGAAGCTGTTGTGGCTGGAGAGAAATCAACTGGTTTTGGATCATTATTGAGACAATTGCCACCGATTGCCTTCGCATGCATTGACGAAGCTCATTGTGTGAGTCAATGGAGTCACAACTTTCGACCATCTTATCTTATGATTTGCCGAGTGCTTCGTGAGAAGCTTGGAGTTAAAACTGTTCTTGGTTTAACAGCAACAGCGACACTTCAAACAAGAGAAAGCATTGTTCATCATTTAAGTATTCCTGATGGAATAAATGGAATTATCAGCGATATTCCATTACCAAACAATCTCATTCTTACAATTTCAAAAGATGAAAATCGTGACCAAGCATTGATGTCACTTTTACGAAGCGAAAGATTTTCTTCACTTCAATCAATTATCGTTTATTGCACTCGACGTGATGAATGTGAAAGAATTGCAGGATTTCTTCGAACATATTTGGCACAAGAAAACAGTCAAGAAATGCCAAAAACTTTTGATAAAAAGGAGAATCATAAGAAAAGGAAACGAAATAATTTGTTTGCTGAAGCATATCATGCTGGCTTAGCTCCATATCGTCGTCGTTCAATTCAAAACCATTTTATGTGTGGTGACTTGAGAGTCGTTGTTGCAACAATTGCTTTTGGCATGGGAATAAACAAGTCGAATATTCGTGGAATTATTCATTACAATATGCCGAAAAGCTTTGAAAGTTATGTTCAGGAAGTTGGACGTGCAGGAAGAGATGGAAAGGAAGCTCATTGTCATGTGTTTCTTGATTCGAAAGGAAACGATTTATGTGAATTGAGACGTCACATATACTCAAACTCGATTGATCGTCATGTTATTCGAAAACTGTTAAGAAAAGTCTTCGTTCCATGTTCATGTTCTCAATCGCAAACTCGTTCGAATCAAAAGTCGAGATGTTGTCCAGGTCATGAAGTTTGCTTCTCGATTGATCAAACAGTTCAATTGTTGGATATTCCGCAAGAAAACATTTCAACTCTTCTTTGTTATTTGGAACTTCATGAACAATGTTACATCAAAGTTTTAAGTAACGCGTACACAACTTGCAAAATCATTTCATATGGCGGTCCTAAATATTTGAAACAAATTGCAAAAACATCTCCACCACTTGCCATGGCCATTGCGATTCATTTGAAGACGAAAGAAGCATTTGACGATGAGCGAGACATCGATTGAATTTTCGGTAGTTGATGTTGCTGCTGCAATTTGTTGGGACAGCGGCGTTGTGAAATATCAATTGAAGCAATTAGAATGGACGGTCGTTAATGGCGCTTCAAAACGATCATCAATCACTGTCACTTTCTCAGATTTAGGATTTCGAATACGTTCACCTGGTGACTTAACTGACGAGGAACTTGATTCTGCACTCGACTCATTAGAAAAGCGAACATCATCACAAGAAAAAACTCAATTAATTCAAGTGAGTGCATTCATTTAATTCTTTTAACATTCAAACATGTTTTCTTGTCTCTCTTTTCAGCTTCAAATTATTTTCAATTCTTTAGCATCTTTAGCGTTTTCACATTATCGACAATGTTCAACAAACAACTTTCCAATCGATTCATCTGAAAAATTAAAACTTTTATTCGCAATTACTTTCAAACTAATCTTCCAATGGATGTTTATGTCGAGGAAGAAGAAGATGCAACACCAGATAGTGAAATAATTTCAGACATTCATAAAATGATTTTTATGTATCCTGAAAATGTTTTTAGTGGTCGTGCATTGGCTCGTTTATTCCATGGCATTTCAAGTCCATGTTATCCCGCAGTCATTTGGGGACGATGCAAATATTGGCGTGCACACATGAATGTGAGTTTCAAGAGATTAGTCAACATTGGCAATTCAGAGCTTGTGAAAATGCGGATGACAAATTGAATGTAAAAATCTCAACTTTCATTGCAATTTAATTCTAAATAAATAATAAAGATGTTAACATTTTCTGCTTAAAACTTAAATTTTATTATTGTTAGGCAATAGTTTTTAATTTCATCATAATCATTTGGAATCAAATCCTCAATATTTAAGGTTGGGAATAAATAATTTAAGTAATATTAAAACAACTAGAGCCTTTTTATTTAATAATAAACTTAAATATCCCAGCATTGACCATCAAGTTAGCCCTTCTAAAATCTGCCACAAAATGAAATATTTGTAAATGAAGACACTAGAAAGTTGTTACTTCAAATTGCGAATGTAAAAGATATTAATTAAGTTTCATGAATATAAATGAAATTTGTATTTTGAAATCATAAAAGCACATTTTATTAGTTGTTACTGCGGCCATGTGGTTGTCTAAAATTCCATCTTGTTCCGATCGCTGCTTCTAAAATTTGTAAAACAAAACTCATTGTCATTAGATCGTTATCACACTTGTTATCAGTTTCAACTTTAAACTATTTATTATTTTCTCTATCATTCTTAACGTTCGTTCTCTCATTTGTGGTGTAGTCGATGACATTCGCTCAGTCTTTATCTCCAACACGTAACTGCAAGACGTGTTTCATCGAAATAAAGGTAAATGATAATTAATGATATTAAATCAAAGAAGTTTAAATTACTTAATAATATCATCATATTTATTAATCCCTTTATTAATAGATTCATTTATTGGATTCTCTACTGACATGTTGAACAGAAGTAAAAATCTCAGAATCTCAAAAATGTGTTTTTGGGATTCTAGTTGATCTTAACCTCGCCACAGTCGCCACATTTATTTTCGCTATTTAAGTGTACAAGGATTTAAAGATTGGTAAACAATTTATAAATTTAATTAAATGTTCTGTTCAATAATAAATGAATTTTTCAGGTTTCTAAATACGATCAAATGTCGATCATGATCACGTGGGAGATGTTTCTTTTTTTCTCGAGAAATTGAATTAGGTATTTTTAATTTCTCATATCTATAGTTCCAGTTGATTTACCTACCAAGTTCTGAAAAAAATACGACAGGTGAGAAGTTGAAAATTTTCATTCTAGACGATATTTCTAATAATTTAGGAATTTCGGATTGATATCAAAATTGCTCTATTTTTTTCTTTAATTTTGAATTTCTAGATTGTCTAGATTCCAGAGAATTAAAACAGAAAACGGAAAGTAAAACTGCCATTCACAGCAGTACTTAAGTTTGCAGCTGAAGATTTCAACATCACCTGCAACAAGTGCCAAAGCCATCAAATGCTTTCGTTGCTGTGGTTATTTGAGATGGTTTGATTACTCGCAGGAAATACTGCTGACATCGATGCAAATTTGTTGATTATTACTCCTTTCTCCCTTTGAATAATGCACAAGTAGTATTGACATTGATGTGATGTTGCATCTGAATCTGTTTCTTCCGGTCTGGGATGGCAAGGAAGAAATCTGGACATGAATAACTATCGTCAACATTAAAATAAAACAGATTGTTGGCTATCAGTCGGAAATTTCTTCAACATTTTATTCGGAGTCAAGCGTGCTGGACAAGCGCTAATGAAGTGTCCAATTTTGGTGCAAAAGAAGCAAAAATAAAATTTAAAACCAATTTTAAAATAAATTTCCGCTCCTGATGCAACATTGTAAACCTCTTGAATTACCTTTGCATCTGCTTCGAGTTTTAAAAGAGAACGGGACATCAAAATAATTTTCATTCCACGTTGAGCAAGCTGTAAAAATTAAATATTGGAAAAATTTACAAAGGTTTTCTTGTAAAATTAGTAGTTTTAAATGACAATAACACATGTGACGGTTTGTCAATAACATTAAGAAGTTTTTTGGCTTTTTCAGACTGTTTTTATTTTTATTTCTTCGACTAGTTTCGAACACAGATTTGTTTGTCAATTGAATAAAATAAATAAAATGACCAAATAAAATCATTAATTAATTACCTAACATTTACAAGAACTATAAAAATTTTCGTCAAATTATTAAAATTTTAAAAACTTAGTCAAATGCAACAATTAACAATCATGACTTTTCACATCAAAAACTGTTCGAATAAAGTTGTATAAAAATTCGACTAAAGAGTATGAAATTAAATATCTTAATAAAAGAGTTTCATCTCAAAAGTGAACAGATTTCTTTAATTAACTCAAAATAAAGTCCTGAAAAGATCCAACTAAAATTGACTTTATCAATCAAAAAATTTCAAAAATCACACCAACAAAAAAAGAAACAAAATACGCATCACTAAGGCTGATATCATTACCATAAAGTTAATGGCTATTTTTAATCATATGCAAAACATTTGAAATTTTCACGTTTCACTGTCACATAACAAAGAAGAATTAGTGCCTCTGAGATATAAACTTAAGAGATGACCTCACCCTTCACCCCACAATAAAAGAAATCGTAATTTGATTGGCATACTTAATCATAGTTCGAAAGTTGTTTAATTAATAAAAGTTTAATTTGTAGTGTACAAAGTCTTGTGAAAACAGAAACTTTGCTTTTCATAATCATTATTTTTTTATGCTGCAACAAGTTACAAGTTGCAACCTTTCAGACGCATAACTATCACTTGCATAAAATATGTGCATACGTTTTATCTTGATAAAATTACACAATTCCACGTTTCTTCTTCACATTATTTCATTCATCTTTATTATAACTCGTACGTATGATGCATCAGCAGCGTTTACTTTTTATTTTTTTAATTTTCCTTTCCATTTCGTTGGCACTTACCTAGGTAGGTAGATAAATTCAACTTTTTAAAAGAACTTCTTACGGATCGTCATGGTCAAAATAATGATAAAATCTTCTCTAGTTTTTAATGGCAACTAATATTAAATTTATGAAAGGTTTCAAGGGATTACAGACAATTCATCTGAAGCGTAATTACAGATACAAAACAAGAATCTCATCGAGTTCAAATCGTGATCTTCTTTCATTTTCTCAACAAGAATGTAGAACGAAACAACACGAACAATCTCCAATGCACCTAAGTTTTCAGATTTATTTATCTAATCGTCGTGAGTTTCTTTCTTTTCTGTAGTACAATGATAATGTGAATTACTTTTCTTGTTTTTGTATTCATGGTTCATCGTAATATAAAACAATTAACTAGGAAGCATCAACGTTAAATTTATTCTCTCACCTTCATACATAATAAAATTGTGAAAATGTGAGATGATTTTTGGACATCATCAGCTACAAAGTAACTGAAACGGTTTCGCAAATTGTTATTTAAAACGTCTTAAATAAAAAGACTAATGAAATTTCTATCTTTCCCATAAATATAACATCCCATATTGATTAACAAATATTTTATAATCTTCAGAGTCCGGAATATAATTTTAAAATTAAGCTTTCCTATTTCGAATTTGTTTTATGCATATTTTTGTTTAATTATTGATTGTCTTCAAAAATTGGAGATGCAAATTTTGAGAGCTCACCATGAGAGGCGACGAACCATGAAAATTCATCTTAGCCTAAGGCACAGATGACACAATTCCACATTTAATGATTGTCTCGCAACCATTCATAAGTATATTACAAGCGACGAACAAGCGATATATCAGCATTCATAAAATCAAGGAAAGACAAAATAAAAACGAATACAAAAAATTCAACTACCTAAATATTTTTGGATGTTTCAAAAATTAATGTTGCATGCTAACAACCGTACTTAATGACATTGACCAGAAAAGTGATGAAATCGAAAGGTTTTTTTTTCTTCTCATTTTTGGACTTGAATTAATCAGCGCTTTGTGAACTATCCTGAACTTTTATAAACCATTAAAAAGACAATAACTTTGAAACCACGAGATCTTTTGAAATTGATTTCGATGAAGCTTGCTACAAATTGTTGCATAATTACAGAAAAGAGAAAAGAAGAAGACCTCTAATGCACAATTTGTAAGTAAAAAGTAATCAAAGTACCTGCAAGGTATCTCGTTTCTATAAAATTTATTTACAGTGCAATCTTCATCTTAAATGAATGGTTTGGCATATTTCTTTGGATAAACCTTTCACTTTTATCACATTTGCATTTTTAAACGAAAGATAATATTTGACACTAATTAGCTTAGCTAACATATTTAGCGTCTTCTCATATTATGAGAATAAAAATTGTTTCATAATATTGTTCATCAAAGATTCAAAATGACAACAAAAATCGGCGACAGTGGAAATTTTCACGGAAATTTTTGTGATGGTTCACAACATTTAAACTGTTATGTTAATTGATGCTAATCCAATAAACGGATGCAAAATAAATATCTAACTCCAAAATTTTACATGATTATTAGTCGACGAAAAACTGCAAAATTTCGATGAATATAACAAACAGATAACAATTTTTTTTCAACGGTGACAAATGTTTTTTTTATTCATTTAATATATTTAATAATAAGACGAAGAAGTCATAAAAGCTATTTACAAAAGAATTTGCAAATCGAAAGCCCAAGAAAGTTTAGAGCTCGAATTTGTTAAATCCGATTCATTAAGTCCGCTTGGTTGAAGTCGTCTGTTTATGCCATGTTTCATAACCGAATTTTGTGTTGTGTTGGGGGTTGAACTTCCCGTGGAATTTTGATATCTACTTTCGATAGAAAGTTCGACAATAAGAACAAGCCTCTTGTTGAATGGAGAAGTTTTGTGCATACGTGACCCGTTTAATATTCATACATTAAATGTTCTTAAATATTTGTTGTTCTTTCTGTCAATACTTTCTGTCAAAAGTTTCTCGCCTACACTGGGAAGTTTCAAGTATGAAGATGTTATTTGTGATATGCCATCAATGTATTTTGAAATAACAAAAAAAAATTTTTGATGATATCATGAAAACGAAATTTGCCATAATTTCTTTAACGTTTGTTTGGCTGATTAGCGTTGTATGTTGTTCAACAAATTTAAGATGTTGGATGAGTGCTGTGAACACAGCAGCCTTGATTCATCTGCTCTAAATATTAGATTTGACGATCAAAGCAATATTTCTGATTATTCTACAAAGTCTCTTCATGTCCATTAAGTGTTGTGTTGATCGTGTCTGCATTGTGTTTCATGTTTTGAATGTGTCAGGTTAAATGTGATCAAACACGCTTAGTATGGAGTTCCATAGCTGCTTGATGGACGGGCTGGAGCTCCGTAGCTTGAACTTGGGGCGACTCCTCCGACTGGGCCTGATGGGTATCCGCCACCAGAGTAACCTCCAGCTACTTGTGATTGTGCACGGTATTGGGCAACTTGAATTGCTGGAACAGTGTTCTCTAATACAATTCCGACAACGCGAGATTGTTGAGCTGGTACACCGTATTGTTGTTGTGGAACTCCATATGAAGAGCTTGGAGCACCACCTCCGAATCCACCTCCGAATCCACCAGCTGATCCACCGGCGCTAGCTTTGCTTTCTTCTTGCAACAAGATTTGACGGATGTTGTTTAATAATTGTTGGTCAACTTGTTGGCCTTCATATGTGTTTCCACCAATGGCTACTTGTTGATAGTTTCCACCACCTAAACCTGATCCACCTCCGAAAGAGCTTCCACCAGCTGAGAAGCCACCACCGGATGATGGTCTGTTGTAGTTGTAGCCTCCAGGGGCTTCGCAATTGGCAACAGCGGCCAAAGCAAAGACCGCAAACTGTTTGCAATTAAAAAGTAATTATTGTTAATAAAAAATGCATTTTAAATCTTTGTTTTTATGTTGATGACACAGTTAATGAAAGCTCAACAGTTGCTTAGGCATGTATCATTTCAAATGTAAGAAATCACTTCATTAAACTTTTTATTTGTTTTTTATAATCTTTCTTTTTTTTTATTATTTAATATAAAATCCTTAATGGAATTAATCCTAATTATTTCCACAATGTTGTCGAGCTTTCATAATTCACTTGTTCGAATTCACTTTCAATTTTCTCTCGTAAACTCACCATAACGAAGGAGTTCATCTTGCTTATGTTTAGTTAAATAGGGAAGAAAAAAAAAGTCGCGAGACTTGTTGTCTTACTAGGTTTTTGACGGAATGTGAATTCCATCCATAGAACCATCAGCTTTTATACTCATCCAACACCAACAATGCAAATTATCTCTTCTTCAACTCTTCTTTTCATTTTTCTCCATCAAAGCTTTTTTTTCGCGATGTTTACCATCTGATTTCTTGTTATTGCTTCTTCGCTTCGAATATCTTTTGGCTCTTCAGGCTCTGCGCATCCAAACAAAAACTTCGAGTGGGGCTTAACGACGATGACTTCTTCTTACATGTCATTGATCTTTCTCTCTCGCTCGATCGCGTAATTTTTATTTTATTTTTTTGAGTTTTGTTTTTGTATGTTGAAGGCATCTTTGGGATTTGGCATTTATTGCATTTTCCTGCATTTTTCTCTTCCGATGAATAGCCGAGGCATTAAATCGTGAAGTTGTTACTTTAACTTTATCGAAAACTTTCGTTTTCTTATAAATAATGACTACAATATTTGTTAGTAACAAGAGGAAAACAGAATCAGGAATTTTTATGTCTTTACTTCAAGTTAGTGCTTTATGGCTTAGACATTGCTGAAGGCGTCAGCATAAATTTTCAATGCAATTGCGAGGGTTTTAATTTTTTTATATATTTTGGACCTTTCTTCTTTTTATTGATGCTGTCACTGTCACAAAAATATTAACAACGTCAGTTTTCATGATTATATAATCAGAAGCAAGTGATAAAACTATCGTTTCTTTGTATCATTAACATAAATTAAGCACAACATAAAGCAATTTAAATAAAATGATGAGATAAAAGAAAGTTTTAACATAATCACAACGTAGTAGGGCTTAGTGATGAAGTTGATTATTTTTGTCATTTAATATTTTTTTAGTAGTTTAAATCCATTTCCTTATTTTTATGTTTAGTAATTTGAGAGTGTCTTAAGCATGTTGCGTTTAATATATCAATGGTTAATTGGATAAATGTATAAATATGGACATTTAAATGTTCCGTTTGACAATCATTATCTCAAGTGGTCAATAAAAGCAAATCAATTGCCACTTTTGTTTCATTGCAACTCATCAAAAGCTTCTTATTTGTGATTTTTTATGTGGAAATAAAAGTTATGGAGATAAAACTTCGGAAGCTCTTGTGGGTTGACACTTGATCCAAGATCAGTAAATTTAAGTGTTATTTGTGATGATTATGTGGAAAAACTCAGATCTCAATATTAACATTTATTTACGGATAATTTTTTTTCTGTACATGTTTCAACGATGAATTCGTAAAAGTTTAAATTTTAGAAAAATATATAATGAGAGTCAGTTATTGCAGCAGATGATGCTTCACACACTTGGTTACCTCAGACAACGAAACAACTCCAACTTGGAATGAATTGTGACGATCAGATTTGAAAAGTAATCGCGAAAGTTGCATCGACATCGTTATATGGACGCGTAGAAAAGAATGTAGTGAAGACGAAGAGTCGTCGATTGTTTATTTATGATTGCATCATACAATCACGATAAAATTGCAATCTGCAACTGAATAAATCGGGTTTAGCTTCACACGATGAACCAACAACTCCAACAATTTATTGTGATGTCATATATAAGTGCTTATGCTTGGAAAGACTACAAAGAGTTTAGGAAAGAAGCTATTTTATGAGTTTGAAGCTTTAAGTCATTTAATCATTGTTAACTTTATTAAAGCAACATTTCTTCATCAAAAATTTATGTATGATATTTAATTAGTTTCAAGCCCAATCGGTGGTAAAGTCGATTAAAGCTTGCTTGAATCCATGTCGCGTTTTTGTATGTAGATATTAAAGTGCTGTTTTTCTTGACCATGACGCTGTGCGAACATTAACCGTACACTTTTTTTTGTTGATTGTTTACTTTATTATTGTCTTCTCCTTCTTCACTTCCACTGATGATTTGAGAGAAGGAAAGTTGTTTTTGCTCGTAATTATTTTATTTGGCAGTGAAGCTTCATCTTGACCGTGACCTATAATAAATTCTCATGAATGAATGACACTCTGATGTTGAGATTTTAACGGAATTTATCATTCACAGTAGAAAACTTTTAAAAGATATTTCATGAAGTAGGTAATAGTTATTTAATGAGAATATGTTGCAACAAATTTAAAGGCTTTAATTAACTACGAAAACTTTTATTGCATAATGTTTTTATTCTTTATATTTGACATCATGCAAGACATCTTCAAAGAAGGTATCTATAAAATTTCTCATGTGACACAGCATAGTTACAGCTATCTAGTCTGTCTCTCTGAAACGACTCCGTCTCGACACTTTCGACTTTAAATTAGTTTATTGTTTTTCCCCGTTGCGAATTTGTCTCCAAAATAAACATTAGCACTAAAAAAAAGTTTTCGACAATGTAGTGCGCCAAAATTTAAATATATTTAAATATTTATAGTCTATTTAAACGCATATATGCTGATTAGATGAGACTGGGCCACTGATAATCAGGAGATTTGAAAATTTATTTTTAACTTTTATTAGCTGTTTTATATTTCTGCTAATTTCTTTTGATTGATTAGTTTTGTCGTCGAACCGTAAATATAGAAAACATGCTTTGAAAGTTTGATTTAATTATTTAAATTGTAAATTAGTTGTGTTGACGAATTATTCAAATGTTCTTGCCCTTTTATATGACAAGCTTATATCACTTTTAAAAGCTCATTTAAGTTTTGTGTCGCTTTCCATTCAAATTTCTTAAATCTTGTATATTTGTCAGACGTTACATTATAAAAATAAATTCCAGATGTTATAAATCAATTTTCTTTCTTTTCTGCTTTGTTAGTCATTCAAATTAGCTTCAGATAGACATATAAAATAATAAGAAATTATTTATGAATTCACGGAACAAAACTATTTTGTAAATCCTATGGTGACGAAATAAATTACATAGCTGTTCATAGCTTTAGTTTCGTCGCCTCTTTGAGTTCCTTTTAATTCAATATGATTAACACTCAAGTATCACTGAGGATAAAAGTGCACTTCATCGTATTGAAAACTGTAAAACTGCTGACTGCTTGGGTGTTGAGAGCTGATTCATTCATGTTCAATTTAGATCATCAAAATAATTAATAAATTTGCTACACAAATAATCAATCCATCTAATTGTCATTGTTATGTCAATTTTGTGTCAAAATTCAAAATATCAGATTGGTTCATCTGAAAAGTAACGAAATTTTCGTTAACGATTACCTACTGCATTTAACACGCTTCTGCGAACTTTCTAAACTTGAATACAATGATGGATCATCGTATACATGATGAAAGAAACGAACGAATGAATTAACAACAGGAGATTAATCTTTTCTTCTTTTTTTGAAATGAAATTGACATTAACAAGACGTTCAATAACAAAAAAAATCTCACTAGGTAGGTCAAGGCCGTCCCGAAAATAACGAACATGTCTAGGAAGAAAAATGACTGCATTTGATTATTTAACTGGAAACAAAATAAATAATAATCAATTGTAGTTTTTTTCACCACTTTTTATTATTTTTTAAATCTTTCAATTTCAAATTCATGAACCTAATTTACAGATTTGATTGTGAAATTATGTCCCGGAAAGGAAATATCTACAGAATTAATTGAGGAAACATTCACATGTTGCGTCATCATTATCAGCGATAAGTATTAAAGTTTAGTCGTTTAAAAAGCTATGAACGACTAATATCATCGCCTACATTTTTGACCGTGATGTAATTTATGTTTTTCTTTACGACTTTTTATAGCAACCTAGTTTTCTCTTTCAATTATTCTTTTCTTATTAGATATTCTTTTTGTTTATCTATGATCGTAACAACAAACCCCTAAATTATAAAACTATTTCTCTTTTTCTCTGTAAACTGGCTTTGTGAATTGTACAAATGTCTCTCGTCTAAAAAATATTTTAGACACACAATTCTAAACGTCATTTAAAATATTTTAGATATCGTCGATAAAAAATGAAAAAAATGAAAAATTATTCCATTCAAATTGTTCTTAAAACCTACTCATTGTTTTCTTCTTTTATTAGTTTTTGAATCATTTCTGAATTATTGATGAGGGGAGTTTGCTTAGCTGTTTATGTTATTTACAACATATTTTTTATTGAAATAGAAATTTGAATTTATGGCAAATATATTGATGATGAAGACAGTTTCTCTTGACATCTTTTAAACTGTCCAAACTTATCTTTTGCCACCTGAACTCAGGAAATGATCCTTTCTCTTTTCTTATCTAATTTTAGTTTGGCGAATTTCTTTTGTCAAAAAATTATTAAAAAAAAATGTAAAAAGTCGAAGTGATATGAATCGTAAATAAAAGAAAATCAAGAAAGACTATCAACATTATTATTAGCTGATTACTGAGCTGTTTCGCTTTCGATCGGAGCAGAAATAGGTTCATCTGTAAGTAAATTGTTTGGTTGTGTAAAAGATCCTATCGCGTTGTTTTCTTCGATCTCACCTTGAGTTGTCTCAATTTTCGATTGTTCCGTGCTGGATTCTTTTGGCAAAACTTCAGCAGACTCGGTTTCTACACGATCTGCAACAGCTGGTAGTACAGAGTCAGTTGCTGGTGTGCTGTGCTCTGATGAAATTTCAAACACTTGAGTTGGCTCCTTACCGTTCTCTCCTGTTTCGCCTTCTGACTTCTTTTCGGCAGCCTCAATACTCACGTTTGAATTGTTAGGTTCTTCCGAAACTGTTTGAGGTGAAGACTCGACTTTTTCACTTGTCGAAGTTATCTGATCTTCAACAACTTTTTTCGATTCTCCTTTGACTTCGATGACTTCTGGTTCAGGTTCACTGACTACAATTTCCGGCAGACTTTCTTGTACTTCGCTAACACTCGCACTTGGTTCCTCACGAGCAGGTTCAGAAGTTGACTTAGTTGAATCGACTTCCATAGCCTCGACTCTTCCTGAAGAAGGTGTTGAAATTTCAATCGGTTTCGATACTACATCAGGCTTCGCACTGGAGTTTGCTGATTCTTCACTCTTTGTGGGCTCTGCTGAAGCATTTGAACTCTCTTCAGGAATCGAATCTGATTTTACTTCACTCACTTCGGATTCTTGTGATGATTTCTCTGGAATTGTTTCAATTACTTTCTTTTCTTGTTCAGATTGAACTTCCACTGGCTTTTGAACATCTTCTTGAGCGACTTGCTCGTCAACTTCCATCTTATCGACTGAACCATTCTCCTCTTGACCATCAACTTTATCAATTTTCGACTCAGATTGACTTTCCGTGACTGCTTCTTCAACTTCATCATTTACTGTTTCAGAAAGTCTTTGACGTTTCCTTGGCGGTGAAATTTTTTCAAAAACCACTTCATTCTCAACCACTTCGGCTTCAATTTGCTCCTCTTCGTCTATTTTCTTTTTTCTTCCTCCTCGTCGTGATGAGCTTGGTGTTGCAGGCTGACGTTTGGGCGTTGGAGGTGTTACTGGTGTTGGCGTTTGAGCTTTTGTACTTGACCTGGTGGATCGTCTTGTTGAGCGGGTCTCTGGTATTTCCTCAATTCCCATATTCTTTAGTAACTCTTTGCTTTCCTCTTGAATCCGCTCAATATGCGTCTTACGTTTCGAAGGTGTCCTTTTCGTCTACAAACAAAGGAAATAAATATATGTATTAAATTTACAACATAAAACGTAATATACATTTGTATGCATTAAATATGACGCAATAAAGGTTTACTGATGACGTTTCATTTCGTAAAAATATGCAATAAATTTTTTTCTTTTTAAAAATGAGAATATGTCACAAAAAATATTATAAGACTTGCTATTCCTCATTATATTGTTTATAATATGGTTTTTCATAAATCACGCTTATTACAGAATGGAATATTACAAAAAACGTTTCCCAGATTATAAAATTTAATCACTTCTATATATTATTTAATTTGCATGAAACAGAAACAAAAAAATAACCGCCAAAATATTGTTTTGCTTAGTATTTCCATGCTATATGTATGCATACAATGTAAATACATTATATACTTCCATATTGGAAAGTAAAAGAAGAACTTGTGAACGTTTAACGCGTGTGTGTATGATGAAATTTTTTTGCGCTATTTTATGCATTTTCATTGTTATAAATTTGGTATCCAATATCGCTTTAACTTTGTATTAGTAAAGAAACGTAACCAAATTTTGCTTATTAGAAAAGTTTTTTTTAGTGTTTTAACATTCCGAAGGTTATCACTTTAAGAAAATGCCGATGGAATGAATTTTCCCCATAGCGTCGCTAACTATTTACTTAACTTTTTGGATTCAAAATACATACCGGAGTGTCTTTATTTTGATTTTCATCTTTAACAGGGCTCACTTTTGAGTTTACTTCTTGTTCGGACATGATTTGAAGAGCTTTTATACGATATATTAATTATAATCACGCTTTTCACTTGTTTTCAAATTTTGTGAGAGGGATGTGCGAGCGGGGCACGTAACCTTTTGCATCTTTTAGTATTCTCCACTCATGAAATCTCTTCCTACTCCGTACAGTAGCTTCTTTAATAGAAGGGAGAAGACTTTCATACAAAAGAATCGTAATTTTGTTTTCGCAAACAGAGTATCAACTGTAACTAACCGGTGAAAGGTTTTCCGCTTTAAACTCTGATTAAATAAAAATATAGACAGATATCTGCATACCTAAATGCTTAATCTTCGATTTGTTATTAAAAACCATTAAATTTCCAGAAAAATATAAAATTGTAAAGGATGAAGGATATTGAAATACTTGATCCTAACAATACGGTGAAAAACCGAGAAATCCTTCATCGATTAATAATAAGGTAGGTAATCATTTTCTTCCAACAACTTCAGAATATTTTAATAAAAAAATTATTTCAGTCAATTATTCTATGATGGATTTCCTCAAATTGCTGCTGAACTAGCAAATAGTATAAGAACAGATCCTCCATGTCCTCCCAGCAATCGATTATATCAAATAATGATGTCTGCTCTTCAAAATGAAAAGAAAGAAGTGAACTATGATGATGTTTCGAGTGGATTGGATCTGGAATTTCAAGCTGAAGGTTCAGCAATAGCTCCAGAACCAGCAAGTTATGAAACTGCCTATGTAACAAGTCATAAACATGCATGTCGATCAGGATCATTCAGTTTTGATGGACAACTTGTTGCTACAGGTTCAGTCGATGCATCAATCAAGATCCTTGATGTCGATCGAATGGTTGCTAAATCAGCTCCAGATGATAACGAACCAGGTAGAGAACAACAACAAGGCCACCCTGTCATTCGTACACTTTATGATCATACCGAAGAAGTCGCTTATTTGGAATTCCATCCTAAGGAGCAAGTTCTTGCCAGTGGATCTAAAGATGCAACCGTCAAACTTTTTGATATCAGCAAACCTTCAGTCAAAAAAGCTCATAAAACGTTTTCCGATTGTGAACCAGTACGATGCTTGGCTTTTCATCCAACAGGAGACTTTTTAGCTGTCGGTACTGATCATCATTTATTACGTATCTACGATATACATACAGGACAATGTTTTGTAAGTGCAATTCCAGCACAGCATCATAAATCTGCCATAATCTGTGTCAAATATGCTGCGACAGGAAAATGTTATGCGACTGGTGGCGTAGATGGAGCTATCAAGATTTGGGATGGTATCAGTGGAAGATGTATTAACACATTCACAGATGCTCATGGTGGTCATGAAATCTGCTCTGTAAGTTTCACAAAGAATGGAAAATATTTGCTTTCATCAGGAAAAGATTCTTTGGTTAAACTTTGGGAGCTTAGCACAAGTCGAGCTTTGATAGCTTACACTGGAGCTGGAACAACTGGGAAACAAGAACACAACACTCAAGCAGTTTTTAATCACACAGAAGATTTTGTTCTTTATCCTGATGAAGCTACAACATCACTTTGTGCTTGGAATTCTCGAAATGCTTCTCGTCTTCGTCTTACATCGCTTGGTCATAATGGCCCAGTTCGTCACATTGTACACTCTCCAACTGCTCCTGCTTTTCTAACATGTTCTGATGATTTCAGAGCTCGCTTTTGGGTAAGAAGATCAACAGGAAATCAATACTAAAACAACATACTTGAAAGATTTATCATAAATCATTTACATTGTAAAAATCTTTATTTCAAAATTCTTTTCCCCACCCGAAAGAAATTCATTTACAATTAAGATCAATTTCATAAAAAAGGAATAAAAATAAAATCCGTAAAGTAGGACGGTCAATAATAATAAAAAAAATGCTATTCTATACACAGCTTAAATTACAAAGGATATTCTTCATTGAGAAGTTCTAATAAGTGAATTAAAATTGATTTTTTCCTTTGTCGAGTGATGCAGCAATTGAGATCACAACTTATTCAAAAATTGAAAACTTTTATTAACTTAGTTACGTTCAGCAACTCCACCTTGCTTGATCATTTTTGGATCGTCATATTCTCCAACTATAGAATTAAATTGTAAAAGTTAATAAATTTTGATGGTTTGTCTGTCTTACCATCTCCTAAGTCGTCATTCTCTTCTTGTTGTCCCTCAATATGCAGATCTTCCATTTCAGGATATCCGTCAGGCTCTTTTCCATGGTCACCAGCAATCTCATCGTTCAATTTATCTTTAACTCCATTATTTGGACGATTAATGATTTCTAAATCCATTTCGTCATTGTGAAGTTTTTTGTCCAATGATTTGTGACCGTCAAGCTCTTCCGCAGCATTGTTCACATTATTTCTGTCTGCATCAAATGCATCTTCTAAATTGCTTCTCGGATTTTTGTCTTCAATGTTAAAATCATTGTCATTAATGATCTCATGTGCGCCGTTTTCTCTCTCATCGATTTCAATGTTTTGTGGTTTGCCAAGTGTCTCGTCAAGAGATGCTTTGTAATCATTCTTTTTATGATTTTTACTCATCTCGTCATTTTCATTGTTAATTTCAGGTATCGGTAGAAATCCTATAAAAATTGTATTGTGCCAATAAATTAAATAAAACTTTTTATAAGATTTCTGTTCAAACCTTTCGGAAGTGGTTTAACACGAAAAGATGCTTTTGTGGATGAAACCGTTTGGGGTTTCGCTGGTGATAGAAGATTTTTGTTTTTAACAATAGATGTTGGTGTTGTGGTTGTTGTTGATGATGATTTACCATCTAATGGCATTGGCTGTTGTAGCACATTCTGATTTTGATCATTATTTCTGTTATTCTGATAATGTTACAATAAAATTAAAGTTAATGTGAATAAGTTAATTGAATTAAATTTAATTTCCCCCACCATTTTATTCCTAATATTAATTGGAATTTTGTAATGATCATCACTCACAGGAATTTGCTCGCCAAAGTTCTTATCAATCAATTTTGGTGGATCAGATACAGGAAATGGCACAGTTTTATCAAGTAGATGAAGTTTTTGTTTCAAATCTTTGTTTTCCTGTTCAAGTTGATACGTTTTGTATTTAAGTTGGAGAAACTGTTGATGTTCATCGTCGCTATTCTTACTCTTAAGAATCTTTTCCAAATTTTCTTTCTCTGACAAAGTATTTTCATATTTGACCTATTGGAAGATTTGTTAATTAGTGTCAGCCACAAGATGTTTAGACGATGTTTACCTTTAACAATGTTAAATCATTCTCTTTCGAAGATCTTGTTTTTCCCAACTCGGAATGCAGCTTATCAAGTTGACTCTTCAATCCATCATTATCGGTATTCAGATCTTTTTTAACTTTTTCACAACTTTGTTCAAGATCGTCGTATTGAGTCTTTAAAATTTTATATTGTTGCTGCAAAGAGTTAAATCTTAAAGAAGCGTCTTGATTCTCCTTCTCATGTATCTCCTTCAAATCACGAAGCTTCTGATTTAATTCTCGTTTAGTTTTTTCATAGAGTTCCCGCTCAGCGGAAAGTCTTCGATGATTTTCTAATTTATCATCTAAATGTTAATGAAATTAAATCTCACAAAATATTCCAATCAGATATTTCACAATTAATTATAAATACCTTCCATTTGTCTATTAAACTCGTCATTTTGAAGTTCAAGCTTTTCGATTTTTTGATGTAATAAGGTCTCGTTACTTTTCTCATTATTAAATGCAATAAAAAATATTGATAAAAAAATTATAATTCCTAGGAGTAAGAAAAACTTATTTCGAAGTAAACTAAGTCGTGTTTGGATCATGGCTTGATTATGTTAATTATTCTTTCTCTCATTTAAATGTTTTTAAAACTTATCATCGTTTTTATAAATTTTGTTTTCTATATTTTTGTTTTCATAATTTACAAATGTTTATAAATTTCCAATTTTTCAAGTTTAAGAGACTTCTGCACTTCTTTTCACTTCATGCACTGACGAAAGCTACAAAAATGTAAATAAAATAAATCCGTTAATTTTTAGTTATTAATAATCTTTCTTTCTCTTGCTTGAAACGTCATCTTCTTGATAATAAAACTGAATAGAGAATAAAAAAAACTTCTTCTTTAAACATTTTAAATTGGCTAAATAAACATGAAATATTTATGAGATTAAAAAGAATTATAAATACGGCAATGAGTCCGAAAGGGGATTAGAAGTAAGTAAATAAGTACATACATTACTACTTTACCTTCTTCTGAGCTTCTTTGGCTTTGATCGATTTATTCAAAACAACGCAATTGAACTTAAGAACAGCATTAAAGTGGATTAATTCAGGAAAGTAGTTTTAAAACATATTCAGTTGCATTTATTTCCCTTAAATAAGTTTTCTGCTTGGTAGTCACATTTTATCCAATATCCCGTAGGATTATTGCTGTTCAATTATACATACATCGGTTTTATGTTTTCTTATTCCACTTTATTTTCTTGCAAAAAATCTCCTTAAATATATAAAACTCTCTTTATAATCATTTTAAATATTTCAACGAGAATTTCCATACAAAACGTTTGAAACTTCAGAAATGTCCATGTCAGATGAATTTTTCAATTGATGGCCTTGGTTTTGAAGTTCTAAAATTAAATCTGGATTTCTTTCAAACATGCACTTTCCTTTATGATTGCAATCACATGACAAGTCTCTTGAATTGAGATTTTCATGATCCACGCATGATTTTGATATTTCCCATGATTTCAAGTCTTTTCGAATCTTTTTGTCACAAACTTTGTTGTTGTTTTCGTATTGGCATCGGGTGATTGAACTCTCATCTGTTATTGTATAAATTGAATCGATGTTCGTTGTCATTATAAAGCTAATTGATGGATAGATGAAGAATGCAAAAATATAAACTCCACTCATAACAAGAAATGGAATACAAATTGCAAAGTATTTATTAGGCAGTTCGATGTCTAAATTATTCTCAAAAACTTCCAGTGGAATGAAACACCTGAAAAGTTAAATTAGCAATTAAAATGTAGATATATGTAGCAATAGGATATGATTTAACTAACCATAAACAGTACAAAATCAGAAGCGTTGAAAAGAGTAGAAATACTACAAATCCGTAAATCCCTCTTGACGTAGTAGGAGAAGGTGATTGCTCTGCCATTATTCATAAAAGTTATATTCCTCCGAAGTTGTAGAAATAAACATATTTTGGGTTTCACAACATAAGATTAATGATTCAAAGAACGATGTTGCACTAACTCTTACATTTTTTGCTATTTCGCCACTAAAATTACTAATAAAAAAAAAAAGAATCATCAATAATCATATCCAAATCAGATCTAAAAACTTACACTTTAAGAATGTTATCCTCTAGAGTGAAATGTTTATTAACTTGACTTCTTTTGGGTTCTGAATCAATATTAAGAACATGAAAAGCAATTTCTGCCGCACGTTTGTTAACAAAAGGTATTGCAATAGATAAATTTATTTCATTTGTCATTTCAGAGTTTAATTATCAATTGTTTTTAATTGTTTTTATTGAGTTTAACTGAATGTTCCACAAAACTCCAACTTTATAGCATATTACTTAGTTATTAATTAAGTTTTCAATAAAAATGACAAATTGTTTTTATTTACACATTTTATTCAAAGTTTTCGATACTTCTACACTCTTTTCCGCTCTTCTACACTTCAAAGCTCTTTTCAAATTTTTTATGTCGTATGCGTTACAATTTTGTTTATTTACTGATAAAAAAATTAATGTTTAAGTTTAAAGACAATACTCGAATATGACGATAAGAAATTTGATGACATTAAACAATTTTAAATGTGACAGATAATCTGATATTTTATGAATTAATTATTAGCTGTGAACCAAGGATGTGCCTGAAGTTTCTCCAAAGGCATACGATTTTCCGGTTCCAGAACAATCAATTTGGATATAAAATGGGCTGCTGCCTTGCTTATATAATCTGGAACATGATACTCAATTTTCATGATTTTTCTATATGTTCCGTCATATCCTTCATGATGAAATGGAGCTGCACCAACAAGTACTGTTGAGAAAATTTCAGTTAGAATTTATTTGAACAAAAATGATTAATTATTAAATCTTCATTTAACTCACATTCATAAGCGAGAACTCCGAGACTCCACAAATCAACTGCTTTTGTATGTGGCTTTCCTAAAACCATTTCTGGTGACAAGTAATCCATAGTGCCACAAAGAGTTGTTCTCATGGAGTTTGGCTCGTGAACACTCCATCCAAAATCTGCTATTTTTAATTGATCATCATGACCCAATAGCAAATTTTCGGGTTTTATGTCTCTATGAATGACATTTTTTCCATGCAGATAAATTAACGCAGAGACGAGCGATTTAATATATCTTGCAGACTTTTTTTCATCAAAACGAGTTTCCTTTTTTAAGGCGTTGAAAAGAGTTCCACCAGATGCATACTCAAGAATGAGATAAATTCGTTGCTCATCGTGAAAGAATCCATACATACGTAATATATTTGGATGACGAAGATGACTCTGGATCTCAATCTCCCGACGAACTTGATGCTCAATTTCTTGATTTGCAATTTGCTTTTTAAACAATACTTTAAGTGCTATTACAAATTTAGTCTCCTTTTCTCTTGCTAAATAAACATTTCCAAATTTTCCACGGCCAAGAGGACGCCCAATGTCAAAATTAACCAACGACCAGCTCTTCTTACTTTTTTGATCGCCGTTTTCATTTGCTGCATCAAACTTGTTTTGTGCCGTTGAATTATCAGATATTGGTTGAATGGGTTTTTTGAATTGACTGTTATTGCTTGTTGGTTTTGTTATTGGTTTGATATTTACTAAATTTGGATTTTTTATTGTGTCCGAACTTGATTGATTAGGATTTGTCGAAGGATGTAAAGGAAGTTTTGCTGTTATTAAAGGTTTCGAAGATTTTGTAGGATTTTCTTTTCCTTGGTTAATTTGAGCGCGATTATTCATGCTTATACTTTTTTAACAAATTCACAAATGAAGAACAACTAAAGTTAAGAAAATTGATAATTAAACTACTGCTATTTGTCTTAAATTTTTGATTTCAAGCAGAATATTTTCAAACCTTATGGCGAATCCGTTGACAGTTTTCTCTTCTTTAAAAATAACTTAATCAAAGAAGCAAAGTTTGGATCGAAAGATGCAAAAAAGTGCACAACTCCTTACAAACCTCACATGCCCGCGAATAATATTTCAATTGATTTACAATTCATTTTCTTATTTGTACAATAAGTTAGCCATTTAAAAAACATTTCTTTTCCGTACATCGATTTATAAGAAAAAGTTAAATAACGCACTTATAGCAAAATGTCGTGGTTGTTTGGTGTGAAAAAACAACCAGTTCCAAATGAAGGATTGGGAAATCCAGATAATCAAACTGCTGGACAAGCTTCTGGCGATGCTCAGCTGACAAAGGCTGAGAAGAAAGCTATGGAAGCATATAGATTTGATTCTTCAGCCCTTGAAAGAGCAGCTGAGGCAGCAAAAACATTAGAAAGATCAAGTAAGTTAAAGGAAATTAAAAACATGATGTAACATTCTGAAATCTCCTAAGAACACTTGAAAAACAAATTGAGAGTCAATATTTTCATATCAAATTATTATTTAAGAAAATGCCAAGGAAGCACTCGAACTGTCAAAGCTTCAGGAAGTTACCCGGCAACAAGAGTACATGGTAAAGGTCAAGGAATATGAAGCACATATTGAATCATCAAAAGTTGATCAAAAAAAAATTGATCATGAAGAGAGACGTAAAACTTTAGCTGAAGAAACGAAACAACAAGCACAGCGTGCCCAGTATCAAGACCAACTTGCTAGAAAACGTTATGAAGATCAATTAGTTCAACAACAAAGATCACAAGATGAAAATCTTCGTAAACAAGAAGAATCAGTTCAGAAACAAGAAGCAATGCGTAGAGCTACAATAGAACATGAAATGGAATTACGTGAAAAAAACAAAATGAAATTGCTCGAAGCAGAACTACGTGCAAAAGCTAAGGTTGAAAGAGAAAATCGTGATTTGACTCTCGAACAAATTCGACTTAAAGCTCAAGAGAACCGAGTAACCGTACTTGAAAGCATCAAAACGGCCGGATCTGTTATTGGTACTGGTGCTGAAGCGTTATTGACAGATTGGGGAAAAGTGTTGGCTGCAGCTGGAGGTCTCTCACTTGTAGCGCTTGGTGTCTACACAGCTAAGGGAGCAACAGGAGTTACCGCTAGATATATTGAAGCAAGAATTGGCAAACCCTCGCTTGTTAATGAAACTTCAAGATTCTCAATTCTCGAAGCATTTAAACATCCTATCAAAACATTGAAAAGATTCCAGTCAAAGCCTCTCGATGCACTTCAAGGTGTTGTTCTTCGACCAAAGCTTGAAGAAAGACTTCGCGACATTGCAATTGCTACTAAAAATACGAAACAAAATCAAGGTCTTTATAGAAATATTCTTATGCATGGAGCTCCAGGAACAGGCAAGACCATGTTTGTTAAAAAGCTTGCTCAACATTCCGGAATGGACTATGCAATTATGACCGGAGGTGATGTTCTTCCAATGGGACGTGATGCTGTTACTGAAATTCACAAAGTCTTTGATTGGGCATCAACTTCAAGACGTGGTCTTTTATTGTTTATCGACGAAGCTGATGCCTTTCTAAGAAAGCGTTCATCAGAAAGAATTTCCGAAGATTTGAGAGCAGCTTTAAATGCATTTTTATATCGAACTGGAGAACAAAATCCAAGATTCATGTTAGTACTTGCTAGTAATACGCCCGAGCAATTTGATTATGCTATTAACGATCGTTTGGATGAAATGGTTGAGTTTACTCTCCCTGGAATTGAAGAACGTGAACGTCTTGTTAGACTTTATTTCGATAAGTTCGTTCTGCAACCAGCTGCAGAAGGTAAAAAACGTTTCAAAGTCGAGCAATGGGACTATGGTACAGTGTGTAGTCAAATGGCACAACTGTGTGAAGGAATGTCGGGAAGAGAAATATCAAAGCTTGGCGTGGCATGGCAAGCAGCTGTTTATGCCTCTGAAAACGGAGTTTTGACTGAAAAAATGGTGCTTGATCGATGTGAATCTGCTGTTTATCAACACAAACAAAAGGTAATTTGAAAAAAAATTCATGGATATGAAATTTATTGCATTAATTAAATTTACCTACAATTCTAAAATGTTTAATTCAATTATTTCTTTCCTTATAGATGGCCTGGTTGTCAGAACAAGAAAAATTAGATCACAAAACTATTACTGCCAGCGGTAAATATTAATACTAAGACTTGCCTCTAACATGGTAACATTACATCCCAACAACAACACAAAAAGTTATTATCTACTCGTAAATGAGATTGTCCTAAAAGTTTAATTAAAAACATGAAAAAGCTGTAATTATATCAATTTTTTTGTTAACTTTGCTTGCGGGACAATTCATCGAATGAAATTCCTCAATGATGAGATGAATTTGTTCTATCATTGACTTTCATTATGTCTTATGATAGAAATCTCATCAATGATTCAACTGTCACAAGCGTCTTCATGTAATAGAAATTTATATTAAATATCTAGAAGAGCTCTGATGGTCTAGACGAGACTTTTTTGTATTTAACAACAAGAAAACTCTAAAAAGATGTCTGAAATTTATTTTCCGACATTAAATTCAAATAAAAGTAAAATATCTAAAAAAAAGTCTTTTTTGGTATAAAATTTTGTTAAATTCTAAAACTGTTCATTTTTACCATACTTTGCACTTGTTTTGAGGATTCATTGGGGAATTTGTGGGACATTGAAAATCTTTAGCAAATTCTATTGAATTGCTGATTGTACCAAGTACTCGAAATCTTCCGAGAGCGTGATTATCATTGAGAATCATCATTTTCTTAATTTCTGGTCGTTCAATCGAACACCAGGTTTGAGCTGCTGATATCCAGAAAAGTTGTTCTGCTGTGAAAGGTAATCCTGGAAGTGTTGGATCTTTCTTGTTAAACTTTTTCTTTGATGCCATGTAAGCTCGATATGCCAACTTAAGACCGCCATTGTCAGCGATGTTTTCACCTTGCGTATTCACTCCATTGAGATTCATGTTAATTGTTTTGTCGGTATAATTGCCATACTGTTCTATGATACATTTCTTCTTATCTACGAAAGCTTTTTTAGTTTCTGGCTGCCACCAATCGACAAGATTCCCATTAGCATCATATAATCTTCCCAAATCGTCAAACCCATGTGTCATTTCATGTCCAATAACGTAACCAATTGAAGCATAATTCATGTAATCAGGTCGATCACTCGAATAGAAATGACCTTGCAACATAGCTGCGATTATTTGAATGCTGTTTGTTTTCCCATTATAGTTCGCATTAACATAAATAGATGACGATTGATCAATCCAATCTGTCTTGTTAACAAGTTTATGGTAGCGAGAACAGACAAAAGCTTTACTATGACGATCTAAATTAATTGCTGATTGAAGATAATCAGTGTGATGAATCGACAAATCTTTATAATAATCTTCAATCATTGTGTTATTTAAAAGTTCATTAGGGTAAGCGATGTTTGCACTCATAGCTTTAAGCTTTTTCAATGCTTGATCTTTAGTTTGATGATCCATCCAATCATTTTCATGTAAAATATTTTCGAATTCTGAGAAAATTTCCTCAGTAATGATTGCAACATCTCGTTTTACTCGGTAGTCGTAGAAATATTCTCTCACGTACATAGCACTGACCGCAAGATTCATCATTCCTGACGTTGCTTTGACGCAATCGCTCCATCGTGCTTGTTTAGATGCTTTACCAGTCACTGTTTTCATGAACTCAAATTCCATTTCACGAAGATCTGATGTAAGGTAAGGAATGTAATCGGCTAAATCTCGCCAGATGATATAATTGGCAATTGTCGCTCGATCCGTTCGATTAAGAACGGTTTCAAGTTGATCATAATAAGTAGGCTGTTGAACTATTACAGTGTCTGATTCATTGAACTTTAAGCCTGAGTACATTTTTGAGTTGATGTAGTCCAACCATTTAATGTAAGGATATTTCTTAATAAGCTCTGAAATTGTCGTTGGGTTATAAAGTTTGTTTGAGTCACGCCGGTCTTCCTTAGGAATTGTTATCTAATATTTATTGAGAAAAACAAAATTATGCAAAAAAATATTACTCAACTATTTATTTGCAATCTTATTGTGTTGAATTGAAAACAATTCGAAACTACTTACATTGGCTAAATGCATTTCTAAGAGAAGAACTTTAGCAAAGTCTCTTTCAGCTTTGGTTTTATTGGCGCCCAAGTAAACACTCACGCTGACCATGTATCGATGGTAGCTTCTGATAACACTGTCTTGAAATCCTCTCAGTAACATATCTCTACTTAAACCTAAATTTGCCCCACTTATCTATAATTAAATTATTTGTTGATTATGTGAAGAAGAAAAAAAATCTTCACTTACATATAAAATTCGTTTATTGTTATGCTTGAGATCGGAATCAATGAAGAAGTCAACACTGAATCGATTGAAATCAGTTTCATTCCATGATGATTCATTCCATTCGTCATCTTCCATCAATACAGGCCAGGCATACGTCAGATTGAGTTTCTGTTTAACAAAGTCCAAACCATTTTTTTGAATTTGTGCTGCAACATTTTAAATGAAATAAGCAAATAAAAATGAGTTATTGAAATCTGGAAGTGATATTCATGATATATGAATAAAAATCGCTTGAAAATTATTCAATTTAATAAAAAATTACTGCATAAATCAGTAAGTAGGGTAGAGTGGGAATTTTTTTCATAAATTCTCCAATTTAACAATATCTACTTACTTGTATCCATGCATTGACGAAACAATTGTTTAGCCATTTTAAACGGGCGAATATCTTTTTCCAATACTTCGCTGTTAAGAAGCGTGCGAAGTTGACCCATGACTCTGCCCTCGATCATGTTTATAGTGTTGATACTCCCAGAATCATCAGGAATCACGGTAGTCTTTTCAAACCTTCCACATGAAAATTGATAGAAATCATCGCACGGTCGTATTGAAAAATTCATTTTCGATGACACGACTGAAGCTGTGGAAAGAAGAAAACTTTTTAGTTTTAAACTGTTATTTACATTTCATGTGATCATAATAAATATTAATTTGCAAGATGATTATGTTCACATAGAGCATTCATTTCATGAACACAATTCAAACTACAAAGTAAGAGAATGACTTACCAAGGTATTTGCCTCCAATTTTACTGAAGGTGTCGGAGGCTGTGGATCAAAAGAATTTAGAAAACAAAAGTTTTCATTATGTATTTGAACAGTAATAAGTCAAACTTACGCAAATTTTCTGCCTGATACTTGTAATAAAAGACTGCAGCTGTTAATAAGCCGATTATTGTGAAGCACAAAAGCACAGTAACCCATAATGATTTTTCAAGTAATCCGCGACGAAGTCTAGCGAGAAAATTGTATTAGTTTTGGTTGTTCACAAATATTTACACCGGATAATATTGTTTTGATTATCTCTCCAAAATCGCCGATGCCAAATGAATTTCAATTGTTACACTTTCATTGGTTGGATAATTTATCGAATTTCCCGTTTTTTAAAGCGAGTAACAATTGAAAATTTAAAATATTTTCCTTTGATAAATAAAAACTTTACATGAGTAGATAAAAGTTATCTTAGAAAAACGAGAAAATCTGTTGTAAAAATTTACACTTGATACTAAAAATTGATAACAATAAAACTAGCAAATTCAACGAAGGGTATTGTCAAGGTCGATATAAAGCATTGAGAGTGCGATCTATTGTAATAAAGATATGGAGTCAACTTGCGCAAAGTTGATTCAAGTTAGTGGAACTAAACTTAACCATTTGCGGTTTTCTCTAATCTTACAGAAATATTTCTTTCATATCTGAGACTTGCTATCTATTTAAGTAGTCGGTAGTGTCGTAAGTAATGCAAGTTTTTCTTTTCAAGTGGAAATTTGTAGTTCAATGGTAAATAAATGCAATGTAGTCGAGTTTTGCAACACAAAGAATATTTACTCAAATTATTGAACTTGTTTTCATGTGAGAAGCACTTTTTTATATTTCACTCTTTCAATCAATTAGGGCAATCATGTTTATAGTACATAAACAGTCAGCATTAATTTTTAAATAATAATTCTTATCATAACAGATAAATTTTTATATTATTGCTCATGCTTCTAGAACGTCTGTTCAAACATAGATGTCATTATGTAAATGCTTTCGTCCAATTTTTTAAGATGCGAAATTATTATTAGTCGATGACACTCCCTCGCTTTGTGTACGAGAAAACTCATTTTATTTAACCAGCGAGCAGAAACTTTTTTTGTAATTCTTTTCAAGCTATTTATTTTAAGCGCCTATAATCAGTGAATTTGACGATGATTTGCTATAGTTATACTTAGTTCCTCTCCTTATGTCATATTTAAATAAGTATTTCTATGTTACGCAATAGGCCACAAAATGCATCTCAAAAATTAACTTTCGATTTTTATCCATCGATTAACAAGAGTTAGGAGCTAATAAAAATTAATTGGTTGGTTTCTTTTCATTAGTGACGTTTGAAAGTGATTGGCTCAAGGTAAATTAGAATTGGACATCGTATATTAAATCACAAGCTGTCATGAAGCTTTGTCTAAACATGGAATAATATCCAGATAGAAATGTGATCAAGATGACTTTCACATGACGTGAAGATCAAGTCTTTGAAAGAACCTTTAAGAACTAACTTTGCTATCACGCTGAGCCATCTGAACTTTTCTGCTTAATCATCATAAAAAAATGAATTTATTGAAAGAGTGAAACGTTCTGAAAACATTTCTCTGTAATAATTGATTGATCAATTGTTTAGATACCTTCATATTTGGCTCTAAAATAATATTTACGTCGAGAATTTTGCAACAACAAAGCTTTTTAGCACAAAAAATTACAACAAATAAAACAATGAGTTTCATTTGTCATAACTTATTTCCAAAAATTAGTTAGCAACTTATGATAGCTGCCACAACTTCCATGGAACTCTTCGTCACTTTCACCGTAATGAAACATTTAACATCGGAAGCCACCGTATCTTTATTTGATATGAAACCATTTATTTATACCAAATAATCGTGCAAATATTGATGATTATTCTTCGAAGGTGAATCATATTCAATTTTTTTTTAAAAAAGAAACTTGACATTGATAATTTCATTGGATAAACACTTGCTACGAACACACGTTTTTTGATAGAATTTTTTTATGAATGAAATGTTTTCATAATTATTTTATGAATTAGGCAAATATTAATTTTGTTAATTTTTTAATTAACTTAGTTTCATTCTGAGTCGCTATCGAATGACAAAATTATCACTTTTGTAGATTTTAATAATATTTAAACACCGACAAATTTTATTCATTATGCTTTGTTATGATCGGCAAATGATTCCAAAGTTTCTTGACATTTTATAATTCCAATGAGGTGTAAAGTTTTAAAAATAATTACTTCATAAGATCTGGGTGATCACCAAACATTTTAGCTTGTTTTAAAATCATTTTCCTTATTAATTGAGGCTTAAATATTGCAATAACTTATAATTTTTGTTGTGCTTTACTGAGGAGCGTTTAACTTAAACTGAGTTCAAAAATTCAAAGCACAAACATTTTATATTTCAGCTTTTACACTTTTAAAAGCCGAAAAGTTTTGCGCAATAACGTAGCATTCATGAGCGCGAGAGAGAAAAATATTCTATTGCTGTTTTATTTTTTTATATTTTGATCGTGCAAATATAAGATAAATGAGAGCTTGGAAAATGAGACAATTCAGATGATTGTTTGTTGATGTCGGTGAGGTGGCTCATGCCAACAGATCAATGGAATTGCAATTTTATCAGCAATTATAATCTTAAATTAAACAAAAATTGTTAATAATGATATTCGTTCATGGCTATAAAGATAATTCATGAACTAAGTGAGTGTTAACAACATTTAAATGTTTGCGATAGTAAATTAAACTTTTCTTATTTTGTCACGAGTTTTCATGAAATTTTAGGGATAAAAATACTTTCTCATGACGAAAGAAATTAAGGGTTAAAAATGTAGAGCTTATGTGTTGATCTAAAAGCTTCAACTCGAGCTTTTTCTTTATATTTTTTAAGAGAAAATTTTATCCTCAAAAAAAATTGATGAATTTATTTAAAATTGTGACATTCCATTTCCTTAAAACTTAAATAAAAATTCTCAACGCATGCAGAAGAAGACGCACAATATGTGACATGAATTTTTATTAAGACAAATAGAGAGAGAATTGCTGGTTGTTAATATTCAATCACATACATAAAATTTTAAGAAACAAGAACAACTACACCATGAAGGCAGATATTCCAGGGAGATGAATGTGCTTTCGACACAACACACATCGTCGAAGATCTTACTTGACGAGTCCGACGTTGATCGATCATGTTGTACCATATGGGAAATTCCTGTATTCTGGATACAAACTGTCAAACAATTTAAATTCAAAAATTGTAAGAATGACGAAAGAATGATGAACCAAAAATAAGCTATTTAGTTCCTTGATTACTCATCAATAATTTCGGAGAAGTTTTGAATCTTCTTGACGAGTTTAATCTAGAATTTGGGAAACTATCCAATCATTCACAATGAATTGTATATCCTTTAACCTTTGCCTCAAATATGAACGTATTGGAAATTTCTCATGTTAATAAGATTTCTTAGAAAGTGAAATTTATTCAGCTAGATTCTCGAATATTTGTTAGAATGCAGCGAGTTGTCCCATAAATTTAAGATCTGACACACCCTCGAATTTTGTTCTGTTCAAAAATAAACAAGAAGTTTCTTTTGAACTGCAAAAATTTTTTCACTTCATAATTAAGCTACAATTGAACTGATCATGTGTTTTATTATGTTGTTAATAATATATCCGGAAATGTTTCAATTTTAGCATTCAATCGTTGTGCTTTTAAGAGGTGATGGCATTTGCATTGAAACTTTTAATTCTCCTTGACTTCGATTATTTTTTCTCAATGATTGTTTAATGCTTAAGCCAATAATTATTCTCATAAATGTCATAAACATTTTAGCATCAAAAAATTCACAATTTTAATTAAATTTTGGCTTGAATCTCTTTCTTATAAATAGAAAAAAATGACATGTTATGTTCATATTTCGAAAGCTTTATCTAAAGCTCACCAAAGAGCTTTTTTACATATGTAAAGTAAAAATTCCGGTTCTGAGTAAAACAATGAAGAGAAACACAAAACCCGCTCAATAATTTTTGTTTTTTCATTTTACAGCTGACGTCAAAAGAAAAGTTAATCGCTGAGTCATTTCGCAAGGAAGACGCAGACAGTCATGTTTTAAAATGGAAATCATTGTTTTATGTTTGTTTTATTGATGATAGGTATTTGGGATGGCAAAAAAGAAATTGTAAATAAACTTAACACTCATCATTCATCAAGATATTTACAAACGAAAGCATAAGTTGAATAATTAAGAATTCTTAAAAGTTTCTTCTTATTAAATTCTAAATGTTGTAATGTACAAAGTTTACAAGACCCTTTATCTTATTTCTTTACCAAACTTCACATTTCTGTTCTGAATTCATACGAGATTCTGGTGAACATTCGAAATCCTCAAAGAATTCGTTCATGTTGCTTATCGGTCCATTAACTCGAAACATTTCAGGTGCGTGTTCATCTACAGTTATCTGAAGTTTCATTTTTTCTGTGTAGTGAATAACAAATACACTTAGTAAATCGATTAATTAATTATTAAATGTTACCTACCTGGACGAAGTATCGAACACCATGATTGAGCAGCAGAAATCCAAAAAAGTTGTTTGGCTGTAAAATTTAACCCTGGCAGTGTCGGTTCTTCTCCATTTGTTTCAATGTAAGATGTATAAGCTCTATAAGCTTCCTTTATGCCGCCATTATCAGCAATGTTTTCTCCTTGTGTATTAATTCCATTAAGTTTAAGGTCAACGTTGGGTTCTGTGTAGTTTCCATATTGTTCGATGATACAACGAGCCTTTTCCAGGTAAGCAGTTTTTGTGTCTTCTTCCCACCAATCGACAAGATTTCCATCTGAATCAAATTGACTGCCTTCGTCATCAAACCCGTGAGTTATTTCATGTCCAATTACACTCCCAATAGCGCCATAATTCATGTAACGTGGCCGATCAGCATTAAAGAACATTCCTTGCAAAATTCCAGCTGGGAATTCTGAGAATATTTTAAAGTTGAATCTTTGTCGATTTTATATTTTATTAAACTTACGGATGCTGTTTTCACTTGGATCATAAAATGCATTGACCAATGCTACATTTGAATGCGTTTCCCAATGACTTCTATTGACAGGTTCTCTAAACTTACTCATATCTTTTTCACTTTCAAACTTTGATATTTTTAAGATAGATTCGAAGAATTCGTTTTCCTGAATTAAAAGATTTTTATAATATTTAATTAAGATATTGTCATCTAAAAGTTCATCAGGATAACCAATGTGAGTTGTCATTTTCTTAGCTTTCTCTAAGGCTGCTGATTTTGATGTTTCATCCATCCATGGGACTGACTTCAACATATTTTGAAATTCGTTTTTTAATGATTCAACTATTTCTAATGCGATGTTTCTTGATTCTTTATTAAAAAAGTTTCTCACGTATAAAGCACTCGTGGCAATTGGCAGATAAGACGAGACTGTATCAACGCATTCACGCCATCTTAGCTCAGATTTCTGTTGGCCTGACAATATTTTCGTGAATTCCAAATGACGTATTCGAATAGCTTTATTTAAATAATCAGCGATCGATGCAGACGTTCGCCATATCAGATAATTGACAACCACTCTGAAACATTAAAAATATCAAATTTAATTAAATTATTTTAATAAATCTCGAAATTGCTTTTATTTACCGATTAGGCGTGTTCTTCAATAAATTGTAAAGATCATCGAGAATAAATTTGAAATCAGTTAGAATGAGCTCTTCATCCTCAGTTATTTTACTATCATGTGGTAGAACTTCATTGAAATATTTCAACTGTAACCAAATTAATCATTAAAAAAATTGCCATTTGTGCTTACTCAATGTAAAGTAATAAAAAATTATGATTAAGCTTGAACGATATCTCCATGGATGAATTAAATAAAATATCAACAATTTCAACTTGATAATGTGAATGAAAAAAAGATTCTTAAGCCATGTGAAATATCGTGACGTTGCTTAGAATTTCATGTCGTGTATGCTTACCCAATCATGAATCGGAAACATGTGTTGGAAATCTTTTATTTTTATTGAATGATACATCTGTGTCATATTTCTTCGTTCTTCTTTTGGAATGAGTATCTGAAATATTTTTAAGACGATTAAATAAAACGAACTTAAAGAGTGAGAAAATCCACAAACTTTTGCCAATTCTATCTCAAAATTCAAAACTTTTTTCACTTCAACTTCTGCATAGAAACGATCACCTCCATAAATTACCACAGAATCAACATGGTAATGATAATATGCTTGCACTAATTCATCTTCTAATCCCTTGATAAGATATTCTCTTTCAATTCCAAGATGTGGTTGATCAATCTGAAAGTTTTCATTTTTTAACATCATCAAAGGTTGCCAACAAAACTCACGTTAATGACACGTCTAGTCGAGTTTTTCATGTCAATTCCTATACTCGCTTCAAAAATTTGATTGGAACTGAAACCCTTTAATTCAAGATTAAGTAGAATTTTCTGCCAGTACCAAACATTATCTGCCCAATTTCCTGCTTCCAAAATTGGCCAACCACCAAGTGATTCAATAACAGATTTAATGGGTTTTAACCCTTGATCCTCGATCAACTCTAAAATCATTCTAAAATATGATATTTCATGTATTTGATGATAAAAATGACATTACCTTCATTCATACAGGCGTCGAAAAGTCTCTTACAGTTCACAAATGGCAAAATATCATCAGTTTTAATTGTACTGTTTAAAATTTCATTCAGCTGCTCTTTTAATTTATCATCGAGAACCGTGAATGATTCGACTGATGTTTTGTCATCTGGTATAATCGTCGTGTTCATAAAATTGCCGCATGCGAATAGATAGAAATCGTCACATGGATCTGCTGCCTCATCAAGTTTCGCAAGAATGGCTTCCGATTCATCATGACATACTGATGTATTACAAGTTTCATTATTTGAAAAGTCTTGCGTACTTTCACCTAGTACTAAGAGAGTAATAAATACAGAAATGCCAAGGAAGAATCTGCAAGATTAATTTGAGTAAATGAAGCGTGCACAGCGAACTAATAACAAAGCCAGTTAATGTATTCACTAAATACCTTTTCTCTTCACTTTTCATCACAGTTTATTATGCAATGACAACGAAATGATTAACTTTCAAGTGTTTTCAATGATGATTTATTTTTCTTTTTCTCTCTTTTACTATTTTACAGACAAGCGATGTTTATTTGTTGATGTTACAAGTCCGACTGTAATCATACGCTCGTATTTTCAGAATATAATCCATTCGACATTTTCCCCGATTCATGCCTTTTAAACAACAAAAAATAGTGTTGAATATGTCTCCGTCACAGTCGAATGCTGTGCTTTATGAATGGCTATAAATAAATGAACTTTTACAAGCATTGAAATCTATCGTTAAGAATGTAATGAATTGAATATTTGTTTGAAATCAGTAAAAAAACTCAAAATGTTATCGTTTTAAAAGTCGATCTTTAAAGAATTTATTCAAATGCTAAAACTTGTTCATTATCTGACATTAAGTTCTTTGTTTTGTTCTTTTGTTTGTCAAAAAATCAATAATAACGTAACAAAAAACAGCAAACTAACATAATTTTTTTATAATTCTTGAAATTTTATCATAAATTTAATTCTTGTTTGACTAAACTAAGTTAAAAAAAATCTTACCTAATCCACCAATTAATCCCAAATATAGAATGAATTAATATTTTATTTATGTTAATTTTATGTGTGATAAAGGAAACGAAATCAGGCCCAAAGCGAGACCTTCTAGAGATAAAAGAAAACGTTTTCATCTTTTCGTATAGATAATCAATCTAGATAAAGAGAGTGCGTGGGAGGTGAAGATATCACGACATAAGTCACTACTAAACGAAAACAGCAAGAAATTCGTCTAAAGATTCTAAAAATAATAAATTTCCCTAAGATCTATAATCTAACTTTATATAGCCGATTTGTAAAACTATTTGGGAAAATGAGATTAAAGAAGGAAACTTTTAACAGTTGAAAGTTTTCAACAATAAATATTGAGATATATTTTTCAGACAACAAGAATGTCATCTACTTAAGTCTACAATAAGGTTTGAGCATCTCTAGAGATAACTCTAAAGACATTTCGCCAAACCATAACTTCACAATAAATTTTATTTATATTCTCTTTAAACTTATTTAATACTTTACGAGTCAAATTACAATACATAAAAAATCATGGTAAATTAATGTTTAGTTTAGTTATCTCGCAATTGATGAATTCACAAGTCTCTTTGTCTCCTTCTGCCTACCAAACTTCACACTTCTTGACGGGATTCATGGGTGATCCCATTGGGCAATGGAAATCCATTGCAAATTCTTTCATATTTGACATTGGCCCAAGAACTCTAAACATTCCTGGTGAGTGAACACCGGTTGTTATTCGCATTTTCATTGACTCTGTTGAATTATAATAAAAGAGAGAATTGAAAAGAAAGAAATGAACAAAACATTAAATCGTTCAATTACTTTTTTGTTTAAGTTAAAAATAATTTCCGGTATGTCTGAGATAATTTTATAGAATTTAACCCACCTGGTCGATAAACAGAGCACCAAGTTTGTGCAGCAGAAATCCAAAAAAGTTGGTTTGATGTGTAATTCAGCCCTGGTAGTTTTTGTTCAGCTCCGTTGTCTTTAACATACTTTTTGTAGGCAAGATAAGCTTCCTTTATGCCGCCATTATCAGCAATGTTTTCTCCTTGTGTATTAATTCCATTAAGTTTAAGGTCAACGTTGGGTTCTGTGTAGTTTCCATATTGTTCGATGATACAACGAGCCTTTTCCAGGTAAGCAGTTTTTGTGTCTTCTTCCCACCAATCGACAAGATTTCCGTCTGAATCAAATTGCCGGCCTTGATCGTCAAATCCATGAGTGATCTCATGTCCTATGACAAAACCGATAGCGCCATAATTCATGTAGCGTGGCCGATCAGCAGAGAAAAATTGTCCTTGCAAGATTCCAGCTGGGAATTCTGAGAATATTTTAAGTGCACCAAAATGTGTTCAGTTATTGAATTATGATCACCAATCAAACCTATTTTCGACTTACGAATGCTGTTCTCTATAGAAGAATAAAATGCATTGACGACAGCTGGTTTTGAGTGTGTGATCCAATCAGTTTTGTTGACAGGTTCACGAAGCTTCTTGAAGGCACGATCAGTGCCAAAGACGTTAATATTTAAAATTGACTCGAGGTATTTGTTCTCATCAATTGTAATGTTTTGATAGAAATCAATCAGTTTCTTATCATCCATGAGTTCATCAGGATAGCCGATGTGTGTCACCATTGTTCCAACCTTACAAAGAGCTGCAGCTCGTGTTTTGTCATCCATCCATGGAACTGTTTTCAAGATTTGTTCAAATTCTTCTTTGATCGAGTTTACCATTTCAAGTGCAGCCTCTTTAGAGTTTTTCTTAAAATATCTTCTGACGTAAAGTGCACCAGAGCCAGTAGAGAGACTTCCTGAAGCCAAATCAATGCATTCCTTCCATCGGGGTTCTTGTTCTTGCTTTCCACTGATCGCTGTGCTGTATTGAAGTTGACGTTTTCTTAATGCTTCGGTCAAGAAGTATGACGAGAAGCCAGTTATTCTCCACATAACGTAATTTGCGATAGTTCTAAAGGAATTTAACATAAATTTAATTGACATGTCGGCAATTTTCCCTTCTCAAATAATTTCAAACCTTTTGGGAGTTTTCTCAAGAAGTGGTCCCAATTTATCAAAGAAACTTATGACGCTTATGATGATAATTTCGTCTTCTGTCACTTGACTCACTTCAGGTAGAATATCGTTGAAATATTGAAGCTTGAATATGAAAGAAAACATGTTAATTAACATTATAAGTTGAATATTGAGTGATCACAAACCCAATTGTTGTAAGGATATTTCTTTTGAAGTTCTCTGATTGTTATGGGATTGTACAAAGCTGTTGCATTTCTTCTTTCTTCATTCTTCAAGGAAATCTAGAAATTTGAAGAGTTTTAAGAATTTCTAGAGGGAACTATAATTAACATTCAACATACGTTTGCTAAAGCGAATTCAAATTCAAGTACATCCCTCATTTCTTTTTCAGCTCTTTTTCTATCAGCTCCATAGAGAACTGCCATGTCAACTTGATATTTATGATAGGCTTGAACGATTGAACTGTTTAAACCTTGTACGAGATATTCCCTGCTCAAACCTAAAGCTGCTTGATCAATCTGTTAATTAAAACATTATACAATTGAATAATATTAATTATAGAATGAACCTACATCGATAATTCTTCTTGTCGAGTTCTTCAAATCTGTTCCAACAGAGAAATCTAAAATATAATCGGGCGAGTATCCACGCTTTCTGAAATCTCTGACTGATTTCTGCCAACTCCATGCTTTTTCATCCCAACTGTCGCCTTTTAATAATGGCCAACCACCCATCGATTCATGAATATTTAAAAGAGGTTCCAATCCACGTTCCTCGATTAAAGCTTCAACGAAATTAAGAAGTTAAAAACAAAAAATTTAATGAAAATATTTGAAAATTTACTTTTGTTCATGCAGGCAAGGTAAAGTTTCTTAACCATCTTGAAAGGTTCGATTTCTTCGTCTCTGATTGGATCAGTGATGATTGTTCTGAGTTGTTCTTGAAGTTTATCACTAATAACACTGAAAGCATTGACCGAAACTTTATCGTCCGGTATAATTGTTTCTTCTAAGTATTGACCACAAGCAAAGTTGTAAAAGTCATCACATGGCTCTATCGTTCGATCCATTTGTTCAAGCATTTTAGATGCTGCATGCACACAACCTGGTGACAAACAAATATCATCCTTCTTGCCATTGTTATTCTTAGATTTGTAAGTCGCTGTTTCAGCTGTTACAACTTGAACTCGTGGTGACTGGCTCAATGCTTCTGCTTTCATTGACTCTGATAAAAAATTGACTTGAAATTTGGTGCAAAATATTTAAAATTTATTGATCGTCTCATACCTTCCTTCGTTTTATCATTCATTATCACAGAAACAAGTGAAATAATAAGTACAATTAAAGCTAAACTGCAGACTATGCTAACAAGTGTAAGTGCTCTCTCTAATCCGGTTCTGCGTCTCCACCAGTTAGGATTTCTAAAATAAAAGATATTCATAGATTAAAGAACCTTCGCAATAAACATGAACATTTAGAAATTATTAATTTCATGGTTTTACAATAATTAACAGTTTCAATGTTATTTCGTAATTTTTAGATCAAGATTTCTGTAATATTTTCGATATCAATTTCTATTCGATATTTTAATTTCTAAAAGAACTTTTTAACTATTGGCAAATATTGTTTCAAAACATTCAATAAAATTTTAGATTGTTATGAATGCTTGCAAGTTGGAAAAGCTTTAAAATACTTCACTGCGTAATTTTTTCATTCATCTTTAGGATAACAACGCAAACTTCATTTTTCACGGGGTTAAAACATTTCTCTCTTATCCATTAGTAGCTTCTATCCATGAACTTCTCAGTCTAATTTAACATTTAAATCAAGAATCGCTCAAATGCTTCTTAAAACAGCTTGAAGGTGACAACGTGCTTCCGTGGTTACATCGACAGTTGAGACATTCATTTAAAGTTTATTCTAAATCTTCTTCACTTAATCGTTTTACTTTCTTTCCCTCCGATTGAAATTAATGATTCGAGTCATTTTATCCTATAAAACAACGCATTTAAATGTTTTGACCTTTTCCATCTTTTCAACTTTCTATATTTAAACGTTTTTATATCAACGATATGACCTTCAGAAACACTTTTAATGGCAAATGACTAAATATCAAATCACGAATGTTTTCAACGAAAACAAATTTTGAATATTTCATAATTTCACTTGTGATCTGATACAACTTATCTAACAGCACATGCAAGAGTATTTACATGTATGTATAAAAATTTTATTGCAAAAAGACATCAACAGAAGATACGGAAAATTGAAGTGGCGGTAATAACGGATGCTCTGCATTTTCATTTCGGAAACTAAAGCATCCGGTTAAATTATTACGAAATGTTGGTGATGGTTGTAAAGTTGATTTGAAATGTCAAGGGAAAAGTGACGAAGAATTGCGATTGTGATTGTATCCGAATAAACTTTCATCAATTCAATCTGTTGCAAAGCAGAAACTTTTCCTTTTCTAGAATTCCAATGAAGAAATATTTTCGTCATTTCTTCCTACCAAACTTCCGTAACTTTGTTAATAAAAATATTTATAAAAAGACTCAATTGTTGAGTGATTCTCAAACATATGTTTTTATAAATATTTTTGTCTTTAACAAAAAATTCTACTTATTTGCATGCGCATACAAACAATGGCATAAATAAACTTCACTTCAAAAAAAGTTGTCAAAACAAAATTGTAATTTTTAAGAGCTTTTCTATGTGAATTTTCTGTAGTTTTTCTTTTTAAAAAAGCTTGACCTACAAAAATGTAAATCTGTTGTTCTCATTTCACATATTGCTCTTAATTTTATTGTTCATGTAAAAACTTTCGTCCATTGATTTAATCGTTAAAGTAAGTCGTAACCTTTTACATATAACTAATCGTCACGTGATGTTATGAAATGTTAATGAATCGAAAAATATTTCAACGATTATACAATCGTTAATCGCCATTGGGAGATATGTTGAAGAAGCTTCAAATTTCATAATGAGCATTATAAACACCTCTATTGTCCACTAACTAATGCCTGTAAAATCTCAAATGCATTTATTTGGCTTTCTTTACTCTTCTCTCGTCTTACAACAACAATTGAAGAACATGTTCAACTCCATAAAATTCAGATTTTAAAAATGTTCATCTGCATTTACAACGTGATGTTTATTGATGTTTTAATTTAACAATGAAAGAGAGAGATGAGAGGTCGACGGCTCGCTTACTTACAAAATAATATTTATTTAAGACTTAAATTTGTATTTTCATTTTCTCATATTCAGATATTTATGATATTTTCAAACATTTCAATAATCACGGACATTGGCTGCGACATTAATTCAATATAAATTCCGTTAAGACATATACAAGCATGATGCATGTAAATAAAGTAAAGATTGTCATGCATTTATAACGTAAATATCTGCATAGTAATACGAAATGTTCAAAGTTAAGTTATCAGCGGGGTTTTCAAAGCTTTGATGATTAATTATCAATAAGAAATTTGAAATAGATTTTTGACCATCGTAAAATGTAAAATTGACTTTTACGATTTTGCGATAATCCGATGAGTGAATTTTTTTATACTTCGTATAAAAATATGTCAAGTTTGTGATATTCAAGTAATTGAATTCGATGAAATTCAAATCAGGTGTTTTCGAAAGAAAATTAGACTCTAAAGATGTGGCTTTACTTTAAAGATGTAGAAAAACTTTTATTATAGAAATGCATATTGTTGATCTTTGATACTCTCCACTTCTTTCCTGTAATATTAAAAACTTTTTCTTTTGAATTATATTTGTGACAGTATAAGCTTCAACTATATAATGTAACACTCTACAATTAAAAAAGTTTATCATATTCAGAAGATCTTTTTATCTGCAGATAATATCAAAAACATGCTTCATTGGATATCGCTTGTATTATCGAAAAAAAATGTTTTTTTTTCTCACTTCAACACATGTAAATGTTGGATAATCTAACGCTAATTATTATTATAAAATGAGTAAAAGTGATGGAACGACAGCAAATTTTCAATTCACGTTTGGAAATTCTAATCGCGATTCAACTTTCTTCTTCAAAAGTTTAATGAAAGTTAAGTTAAGCTTTGTTTTCTTTTTTTAATAAAGTAGGTTGGTTTTTTACCTTACAAACATAAACATTTTCTGGTAAAAAGAGTCGTTTTGCAACAGTGAAACAAATTTTATGTTTGCAGTTGATAATTATATGTAAAATAAATACATTCAGTGACCGCTATTTAAATGCTTTCAGTTATCTTCTGAATACTAAGAGATTTCGAGTCTTGTTTTTATATATGTAACGGCATCTTGTGCAGGTCAAAAATATTTGCAAACATAAAAGTGGACATTGAAATTTAAAGTCGCAAATAAAGTGCTTGTAAATTTATAAATTGATTCGTGAATCATCGCATATTTGATTGTTTGGTGCAAGAGAAATGAAGTAAAAAATCAACATCTAAAAGATGCTTTTGATTATGCAAGAAGAGTACTTAATAGACGCTTATAAGCGAAACAAATATCGTAAAATCATTCAAAGACACTTCAAATTGAGTTTTGAATAAGTTTATTTGCGTCATAGACAACTTGAAATCATTTAATCTGAACAAAAGTGATTCGTTTATTGTTATTAAATTACATACAAAAAAAGATGATTTACAAAATGAAGTTTCTTATAGACATAAATCCTCAGATCATTCACATCTTGAAAAGTATTAAATAAATTAATTTGAACTGATTTAAATTACGATCACGAGAAGGTAAGAGGCATTACCTGTACCTTTGGTTACATTTCTTTGACAAGTTTTTATATTGAATGATGTCAAATTTAGCTGAAAACATTCTTTGTTGAATTTTGAATCTTTTTGTATTCATTTGTATAAAAAAAGTTGAATTAATGTAGATACAAATAAACAGAAAGGAAAAAGAAATCGAAAATATGGAGGTCTTTGCAAAGGTGCTTAACATGAGTTTCGCTGCGGCATACCAAATTGTCATTGTTTATTGGTAATCTCTTGTTCATTGACACCAAAAAAAAATTTATCGAGTTATTTAAATATTCATTGCAGAAAATATTTTATAGAAAATAATGACTTTTGCCAAATCATTCTGTGAAGTTGATTCTACTGTGAAATTATTTTTGAATGATTTTAATTATTTTTAATGTCCACAAATGCATTAGTCGCTATCAACAGTTTCATTCTTCATTCAAATCTGTTTGTTTTAAACAATGTTAAAGATATTGATAAGCATTGGAAAGTGACATTCCCAAACGCACCTTACTTTGTTGTACAAAGGTACCGCTGGTTTTGCTGAAGTAAACTTAATTTAACTTATCTTTCATCATTGTATGAATTTTAAAAAGAAGCTCTCTGGACAGTTCATTTAAAGAGTTCCTTTAAAGAGTTAATTCTTAAGAGTGTTTTTAAGTTCTACTTTGAATTTAAATTAATGACCATTTAAGTTTTCAGCGATGTTTCTAAAATAAAATAAATCGAATGGTAGTTTAATAAATATTTAAGTAACCGTGACACTCATCAAATTATGCACCAAGGAATAACTTTAAAGTTTAATCATGTTTATGAAATAAACCGCTTGCGGCTTCATTTGCGTATTTTATTCACTTAAAATGTTCTGTTTTATAAATGGCAATGAACTTGAATAATAAGTGAATTCAAATCTCCCACGGAATTTATTCCTGTTTTCATGTGAATATGAGATAGATACATATCAGCTTATGAACAAACGAACTATGTGTTTAGTACAATACAATGAGCTTGGCAAATTGTAAGAAATCATGACGATGTGTAGTTTGTCAAAAGTAAAAGTCCAAACAACTCTCGCAACGAGTTGATTACGTAAAAAAGTTGAAGCCAGTAAAACCGGACCGATCGTCAGAGAAATTATTTATTTTCGTATTCATGAAGATGGAAGACCTTAACAGCAAATCATCGCTTCTTAAAGTCTTAAAATATTTGTTTGAACACAACTAGCAATGTATTGCATCCATATCATCATTTCCGAATCTACATGTCGAAATATATTTATGTACTTGTGTAGATAGTTTAAAAATATGTAATTTGGTTAGAAATGAATGACTTTATTCGTTGATATGAATGTAATAAAAATGATATGAGAACTTCATACTATTTAATATACGAAATGTGAAGTTAATTGATAAGCACTTTGCAAATTTAAATCTTGCGTTTGACACATCAATGCAAGTTATCTATACCAAATTTCAACTTCCCATAGAATTTTCTACATGATTACTTCTCTATTGATGAAACTTTCATTTCAAATCGATCGATTGTCACACTTTGGCGTTGGAATTGTGATGATTTCTTTTCAAATCAATTAACATTTGGCTTCAATTTTTTATGAACTGATATTTTAACATATAATAAATTAATACGTTTCATCCGCTAATTAATTCCCGTAAAAAAAAGTTAAAATTTTAAAACAAAACCTGTATTGAAAGTTTGTTTTTATTCAACCCAATTCTGTTCTTTTTTAATTTCCCTTTTGGCCGGAAAAGTTTAAAATTTCGATCGCATGCTGCTCGTTTAACGGTCGCTTAAACATAAAAAAAATAAGATTTTGATAACGATTCATTGGAAATCACAAATCGAAAGCGTCTATATAAGAATTTAATTAACACAATTTTTTTATAATAACTTAAAAACTCTACAAACTTAATTCATAAAAAATATTAATTTGTTTATTTTTCAATACATATTTATAAGCGACGTTTTCTGTATTTCCAAAATTCAAGTAAATATTTAATATTCACCAATAATGATTCTTATTTATTACACTTTCAACATGTGCCATTTATAGTAAAAATGTTATTGGATCTTGTATTGTCAGTTTCTCTACATTTTATAGTTGTAAATGAATTTTTACAGTAATAAATATTTAGCAAAAGGTTTTTCTTATCAATGAACTTTATCAAATATACATCATAATTTAATGGCTTTTCTACATACTTGATCACTGTTTGTGTCATGACGAATCACTATGAAGAATTTAAGTTGTGATTATAATTATACGTTTATTTGAATTGCACACAACAAATATTTAAATATCTGACAAATGTTGTCTCTAAATTTTACTTTATGAAATAACTTCTTTCTTTGAATTAAATCTGTTCTTAAAGCTGATAATTAAGTAACTTTTTTTGTCAAATAAACGTTAAAATTCTTCTTAAGTAGAATACACAGAACGCATGAGACTGCGGGGAACTTTGTTAAGCAAGTAACTCTGCCGGGTTGCGCGAAATAACTGAGAAACATTTGCAGCTAGTATTCGATTTTATATTGTTAAAATTTTCTTCTCTTCGTTTCTCTGTTGCCGGTTAAGTCGCGTTTAAACGGCTGAGATTTTCAACACTCATGAAAACTCTTTTTCTCTCTTCCGCAATGAATCACAAACTGATACCGTATGTCTTCAGAAGAACTTGGTGGAATTCTCGGCGCCAAATATTTCATTCATGCTCAGAAAACATATAAGATAGATAAGGAACCTGAGTTTTTTTTCTCTTTTTTTTTAAGTGTGCGATTTGCCAAAACTTTTTGAATCCCAAATCTGATTTCACTAATATTTGGATAAAATGAATACTCACAAAAAAAAACTCAATAGCATACGTAGGTATCTAAATAAATGATAAAGATGATTATGCGAGAATGTGAGAATTATTTATTCTTACTGTCAATGGGAAGTCGTCCTTACGACCACATCATTGTTAATTGATGATGTTCGAAAGAGTTGAAGATCATTAAGGTACTACGTGTTTACATAGATGAATGCGAATGTTTTCGTTAAGATCTCAAGCTCTTAAAATCATTCTTTACGATTATTTTCTGCTATTCGTAATAATTGTTAGTCGGGCCGATAATTAACCTTTGACTTTTCCTTGGTAACAATAAGAATTGTAATTTTTATTATTTCTAAATTAATTTTTTAAAACGCAATTTAATTATTATGTGTATCATGTCTTCACTCGTTGCAATAAAATTTTCACTTTTGATATAAGAAAATCTAAAATATTTTATTACGTAAACTTTTAAGTCTTTAAAATATCGAAAATAAATCTCAAGAGTTTGGTGGATGGTCTCATAGAATGACAGGATAAAATATGACAGCAACGAAGAAAAAAAAACGAAGCATTCACGCTGAGATTGAATAAAAACTTACTTATTTGTTGAAAAAAGATCTTCTTCATTATCAGTGCCATTCTCGTTTCTATTATCCATTATAATTATATCGGGATCATGTAGATCACTTGTATCAAGTAGTTTAACTTCTGAATTTTCTTTGCGCTCTCTTTCCATATTTTTTTTCTATTTGTGTTTAAACTTGACAGAATAATTTTTTATGTCTTGTATGAACACTTAAAAAAAATGTTAAGCTAACACAAACTTTATTTCAACTCTACGCGTTGAGCGATTAAACCGACTAAAAAGTAACAACCTAACGACGTGATGTTTCAATCATTAGTGAGGATTTTTAACGCAAAAAATAATGTTCATGCCGATGTTACACGATGCTGCTCACAAGTCACAAATCTATCTGGATAAACTGGATTTTTTCAGAACATCACCATCGATCGTCGTTGAATTAATGAATGCAAGAAAATCTTATCGGATCAGATTAATGTGTGTTGAATATAAGCAAACCTGTTCAATTGTGTTTATTGATTTCGAAGATGATGAACATTAGAATGAACGCTTTTGTATTTAAATTTTTACTATGCTGTTAAATATGATCAAAATCGCTGTAAAAGAATCTGTTCAATGAATTCGGAATCATAGTGTAGATGTTATGCTCTGTCTTGTATTTTCAGCTTATGAAATTTTATATATTCACAGAAAATACTAAACAAATTATAAAAATTGATGGAAGTAGAAGTGTCTACTTCTTCTTCGACACACCAACTGTGCGTCCTCTGCGACCAGTTGTCTTAGTGTGTTGACCACGGACTCGGAGTCCCCAGTAATGACGCATACCACGATGAGCGCGAATTTTCTTAAGTCGCTCCAAATCTTCACGCAATTTTGAATCCACCAATGAAGATGTCAATTGAGAATATTTGCCATCGATGATATCCTTTTGTCTGTTCAAGAACCAATCTGGAATCTTGTATTGACGTGGATTAGAAATGATTGTGACAATTTTTTCAACCTGAAAACGAAAATTTGTGAACTGTTAAAATCATTCTTAAATTTTATTTTATTTTTATACTTTCCTCCTCTTCTGTACATTCACCAGCACGTTTGTTCAAATCAACATCGGCTTTTTTGAGGACAACACCAGAGTAACGTCGACCGACACCCTTGATAGCTGTCATAGCAATTGGTACCTTACGTTTACCATCAATGTTGGTACTCATGATACGTAAAATATGTTGAAACTTCTCGGGTAAAACGAGTGACATCTTGAGTTTTCTAAAAGAATAAAAGGAAAATGTTAATAAACTTTCAATTAAAATGTACGGAATCTTCATTAAATGTTTAATGTTGAATATAACATAACCTATAGACATTTGTATGTTTTGATCTAAAATCGAAGAACTAATTAAATTAAGGAATCTTCTTAACATTTTTTTGACGAATGCATTGCAAAATTAGTTGACATAAGTAATATGATTTACTTATTAAATAGATTTTAAATTATGTTGTTAGATTTTTTTGTTTCATAAAAATATTTCCATTTTAGCTTTATTTTGAGCTTCTGTTTTTTACACTTTAACTATTTTTAACTTCATGTCATATATTCTATTATATTCACCAATTTTCATTAAAGAAAACAAGATCTAAGTTGTATTTTTTAATTAAATTACTTACTTTGCACGTTCGTCTACTAACTCAGGGAAGAAAAAGGGTTTTGTCATGCGTTTGCATCACAAACAAGACTTTTGCATCTTTCGATTGTTCGCTTCGCTTCTTTCTTCTACTCGTGAAAATCAAGCTCGTAATACTTTATTCTAAAAATTTGTCATTAAATTCAGTAAAATAAACCTTAACGAAATTGTAAAACATTAAATTGCTTCATAAATTTTGTCAACGATTATTTGCAAAACGTAGAAATATCCGCGAATGTGCATGAAATACCTTTATAGTTTAATAATATGAAAGCGTATTGAAAAAAGAGAAATATTTATCAAAAATCTAAAGTACATTAAATATCAGAAAGATGGAATTCCCACCACCCGAATTGTCGATGCCACCACCTAACTTTCAGCCTCCACCAAATTTTCATCATCCAAGACCATTTAATCCTAATCACAACTTCCATCACAAGCCTTTTTATAAATCTTATAAACATGGGATGCAAGTTCAAGATGACTTTGACGGAAAGCGTCTGAGGAAAAGTGTAATGCGAAAAACCGTAGATTATAATTCATCGATTATAAAGGCTATTGAAGTATGTAAACAATGAAATTTCGAGTTTATAATATTTAACTTTATATTTTTATTTTAGAATCGCGTCTGGCAACGAGATTCTCGAGACCGTCGGGCTCTTCAACCAGAAAATAACTACATTCCCGATCTGATGCCGCCTTCAAGTTATCTCGATAATCCAAGTAATGCTATAACTACAAGATTTGTCAAAACAGCAACAAACAAAATGAGATGCCCAATTTTTACACTCGCATGGACTCCGGAAGGACGTCGATTGATCACCGGAGCAAGTTCCGGAGAATTCACTTTATGGAATGGATTGACATTTAACTTTGAAACAATCCTACAAGTAATTTCTTTGAAATTTTCATTTTCATTACCATAAATTATTGAAAAAATAAATAAAAATAATTTCCCAGGCCCACACAGTTTCAGTTCGGGCAATGATTTGGTCTCATAACGATAGTTGGATGGTAACAGGTGACCACAATGGATATGTGAAATACTGGCAATCGAATATGAACCAAGTATGCAGTTTTCAAGCTCATAAGGAACCAATTAGAGGAATAAGGTAGATTCATGAACTTTTGTTTATTCAATAAAAATAAAATAAAATAAAAAACATAATGTGGAAATTCCCCCACATCCATGCTGACCTCACAATAAATTATTTAATCTAATACACCGTTTAATTAGATTCTGATACATAATAAAGTTTTTCGCGGGTTCTTAATTCTCAAATCATACACATTAATATGAGTTTGAAGATCCTCAATGAAAATAAAGATTTAATTGAGAGGATCTTTCACGATACTTTAACTTTTATATGATATTCATATTGAACACTCTGTGATTGATGATTGTGATAATATTTTTATTTAAATTAATCAAAAAATAAAGACTTTTGTCCAAAACTTGCTTAATTCAAAGACCAAAATTATAAAGTTACCTAATACATAAGAAAAACGAAGCTTGTAGAATATCTGGAAATTCTTGAATAAATTTTTGGATATTTTTCAACATAATCAAAGTCTTTTGTATCATATCGAGAATTTTCTTATAAAGGTTTTTTATTTCAAGAATATCAACTGTTCAGAGTCTAATTTTCCTTTTGACAAGATGTCTTAGTTAATCATATTGATTGTTACATGAATCCAGGGTCTAATTAATTTCTAATGCTCTCAACACACATCGTGAGCCTTTGCTGACACTAAATCTTGCAACATAAAATCATTTTCTTTTCCTGTATGCGTTTTCAACAGCTTTTGTCCTACGGATTCGAAATTTGTAACTTGTAGCGACGATGGAACTTTGAGAATCTTTGATTTCTTACGATGTCAGGAAGAACGAGTTATGCGTGGGCATGGCTCAGACGTTAAATGTGTTCATTGGCATCCACAAAAGTCATTGATTGTATCAGGTAGTAAAGATAATCAACAGCCTATAAAATTATGGGATCCAAAGAGTGGACAAGCGCTTGCGACACTTCATGCACATAAGTCGACTGTAATGGATTTGAAATGGAATGACAATGGAAACTGGTTGATAACTGCATCGAGAGATCACTTATTGAAACTTTTTGATCTACGAAACTTGAAAGAAGATCTTCAAACATTCAGGGGACATAAAAAGGAAGCTAGTGCTGTTACATGGCATCCAGTGCATGAAGGTCTCTTCACATCTGGTGGGTCTGATGGACAAATTCTTTTCTGGAACGTTGGGTAAATAATTTCTTTTCAATTCTTCATCAAAATTTCATTTAATTCTGTTTTTTTATTTTGTTCAGCACCGATAAAGAAATTGGTGGAATTGAAGCCGCTCATGAGAGTATCGTTTGGACTTTAGCCTGGCATCCAATTGGTCACATTTTATGTTCAGGTTCCAACGATCATACTGTAAAGTTTTGGACACGTAATCGACCAGGTGATCAAATGAGAGATAAATACAACTTGAACACATTACCACCAAGTCTTCAAGGATTGGAAGATTATGAAATGGATGAACATATTACAATTCCTGGCATGGGTGGCATGATTGATGATCGCAATGACTTCAATGACTTGCAGATAAGTTTAAGTGAACCTCCGCCATCAATTATAAACCCTCCAATCATTACTGCAAATACTGACCCAGTTATTAATACTGATAATAACAATGGACTGATTCCTGGATTAGATCTTGATGTTTCTATTGTTCGTGAGAAGAAAACATCGATTAATAAGACAATACCAACAACAACATCAACAGATATTCCAGTTGAATCCACCAGTAGAACTGAGGTTGATATTTACGGAACAACAGCACATGATAGCGCGAGTATTTTAAAATGCGTTCGTGATGTAGTATCAAGAATGATTAAGAGACTTCCTGGTATTCTCCCATTAGAAGATATTAAACCGGAAAAAATTCAAATTTATGGGAAGGAACTTAAAATAATACGTAATAAGTTAAACTCATTAAACATGATTCAAATGATTAAATATTTCATTCTTTTTCAGCTGGTTCAAGACTTCATCAAGCAACTCTTGAAGGATTTGATTCTCTCTACAAATATATTCATTCTGGTGAAATTGAAGAACTTAGTGATGTTTTACCTTATGAAGATTTTGCTGATTATAGTGCCGAAGATTTCATTGAAGATCATGCAATCATAACTAATTTAGATGACGAAGAGTTGGAAGATACTGAATCAAATCAAAATGAAAATGAGATTGAAAATGATGATGAGAGTGAGACGGATGTGAAGAGATTTCGTAGTAATTATGACGAATATGAAGGAAGTAACGACTTTGATATGAGATATGAAAACAAACCTGGAATTCCATCACTACTTAACATCAGCGTTCCACCACCTCGACATGGTCAGGAAGAAGATTCATCATCGAAATCACCAGTTAATTCTGCATGGAATAATTCAAACATTAACAACGGAGCACTTCTAATGAATCAAACATCAAACATCACTGAGGCAGATCGAAAGGAAAGCAGAAGACAAGGAAGTCGATGGTCATCGTCACGACGTTAAAATTTATCTTTTCTTTATCAAGTAACAAAAATTTCAAAATTGTAATACAAAAACATCATAAAACGTTTCATTATAAAATCTTAAACTGCTTAGATATTTTTGTTGTAAATAAGTAAAATAATAAATTTAATTGATAAGATGAGCTTCTATTAGTTTTTAATAATTTGAAGTCCTTTGACTTGCTTCATTTATTGAGTGCAAAAGTTTTTTTTAAATATTACAAGAATTGCCACAACAAGAATATTTTATTGAAAACAAAGACATGTTAAATATACTACAATTGATCATTTTTAAACATGTTGTAATACAATTTAAATTCTTCTTCAGTTTCTTTAAAAGTTTTACCGTCAACTTTCCTCGAAGGAACAAATTTTTTGAGTGGATTTTGAATCGTGTAGTCAGTTAAATAATTTAAATCTCTCAATGAACTGTTTACTGTGACATTTATCTTTACAATTTCATCCAAAAATTCAGCAATGGCTTCTCTATTCATCATCAGCTTATCATGAAAACTGTCAAAAACAAGCTCATTCGGTGTTTCAAATAAAATCTTTCCATTTATCTGCTTTACTTTTTGCATAAAGTGGAAGAATTCCCTCAGTGAGTTGAGAAGAAATTTAAAGTTTTGAAATCTCATTGGAAGCAATTTATCAGCTTTATCATCAAAATCAAAGTTGTAATTGAATGGATTGAAAATTATTTCATTTTTAGAAGAAAACTTTTCGAAAGGAATGTCAAGGAATCTTTGAAGTTCATCATGATGCTTCGGAGTGTAAGCATTTTCACTTCTTTTAAGATTCAACATTGTGTGGATGTTATTTTGACGTGTGTTCATCTTTTTCTCACGTTGAATTGCATATCTCATTGAAAGTCTAAGAGCAGTGATTGCTTCTTTGATTTGATGCATTTGAGCAATGCTTTGTTGAATTTTATTAATTTTACATCCAATGATTTCACGCGCTGTTTGATTCTCTTCAATTGCGATTTTATATGTTATTGGAAGATCTTTAGCTCCCTCAAGTTTCTGGTTTAATTTTTCAACACTTTCATTAGCAAATTTAATTTTTCCCTCGATCAGAAAAAGTCGCACTTTCAAAGTTATGAATTCACCTTTAATGCCTCCTCCATCGCATTCCAAAGATTCATCAAAAGAAATTGACAAAGATTGAAGCTTATCAACTTCTTTATTAATGCTTTCAACACAAATTGCATTTATCTTTTCGATGTCTTTTTTTTTAATATTCGCCTCGACTCCTTCATTTATGAGATGATGTTTCAGATCCAATAACAAGTGCTCGTCGTTTGCTAATGAAGGAAATTTGCTATTGTTATCTAATGAAGCTAATGAAGTGTTGTTAGACAGAACAGAGCATTGATGTTCCATTTTCTTAATGATCCTTTCAAATATGTTGTAGTTAGGAATTACACCAAGTGATTTAGTCACATCATTCCATAAAGCATTGGGTGAGATGTTCTCACCTCGTCTTGAAGATTCATAGAAGAATTCAATACTTTCTAAGGATTTATCGATTTCTTTATTGTTGGTGTCATTTAAATTTGTGTCCATCTGAGCAAAGGTTCTTGGTAAAGGTTGTTTCATAAATAGTTTATTTAAATCAAGATTCAATTTCTTTCCTTTTTCTAATTGATCCTGCATGGTTGACAATTTCGCTTCAAGAATACTCGTTCTTACATTTTTCATTTCAACCTTCTTGATTGTTGGAATTTTCTCTGATTCATTGTCTAATGAAGTGTAAAATAATTACCTTTATTAAATAAATATTCTGATAAATTAAATAATTTACCTCGATCCTTCAATTGCTTGATCAATTTCTTCTCGATTTGTTTCAATCCGTCATGTTTCTGTGCAGCTATTTCAATGTGTTTCTTTAATACTCTTGCTTCTGATAACAGTTTTAGTTGAGCTGGATCATTCTTAGTATTGTGTCTTGTTTGATTGTCTTTTTTACACGAATGAATAAGCAGATTATTTCGAATACAAGAAACTTTGTCTTTTGAGTAAACTCTTTCAATAAAATTTCGGAATAATGGCATCTGTCTTGATCGATCAATTCTATGAAGATAAATCAAAAATGAAATAAATGATTTGAATCGTAAAACTGAACTTACTTTCTAACATATTCCGGATTTAAAATTGAATCTCTAGGAAATTTCAGCTCAATACAACGATGAACTATGGCACTATCAATATCTTTCTCAAGCCTTTTTCTATTTTCAGGCATCTTTCTTATCAAATATTATTTTATTCTATAATTTTCTCGTTTTCACAATTTGTAAACACAATTAGGCGTTTTAGATCGTTAAAGATTTCTTGAATTTTAAAATGTTGAATTTTCCACCAAAAGATGTCACTACGTGCTTCTTTGAATTCAAATTGTTCGAACATCTTTGTTTTGCAGCAGCTACTGAGAATATTTAAATAGTTGTTTCATTTAAATTCATAAAATTTCACAGAATTAAAACAGTGATGAAATGATAGTTGAACTGTTTAGTATGCTTTATACTATCGCGGCACTATTTAGAGCTTTCAGCATGTAAGATAATGGAAGAGTAAATAAAATAAATATAAACACCGCTTTTGTTAAGTGATAAGCCACTTCAAATTGTAACTACAAAGAACAAGAATTCCGCTAATGTTTTCATAAGAAGTTGCTTTATATTTATTCATTTATTTTCCTTCAACCAGAAAAACTTTTTGTTTTTTATATGCTAAGATAAGAAAAAGAAGCACATCAGCGTTGATTCAACCTGAAATAAGAATTACCTACCTATTTAGTTCAGTGTACTGAGAAAGTTTCGATGATTATTAAGGAAAATTCAGATAATATTTTTTTTGAAAGTAGTTTTATAACATGCTTCAATATATAAGTGTTGAAAATCACAAACTCAAATCTTCCTATCAAATAACCTCTTGAGTTCAAGAATAATGCTGAGATTGATTACTTTAAGATATCCCTCTGTTCAGAGATATCGACCAACAATAATAAAATGTTATATTGATAAATAACTTAAGTTTAAGTGCTTACACTTCAGTTGAATTTTAACTTTCCTTACTAACAGTCGTGGAATTGAGAATTGTTCAAAATGGAAAGCGAGTAAGAATTCAATCAATGGTCAATAATTTTTTTATTTAAAAAAGCAGTCATGTGCCAACTTTTAAGACTAACTTTACATAAAACTATCAAATAACCTTCAGACAGTTTTTTAACTTTGTGTAGTTGAATCAAAAGAAATTTTGTTAAAAAATTAGAATCAACTTAAATAGAGTTTGCAAAAAAATATTAAATGACATATTAAATATTTACAAAATATTGATATAAGAACTTTCTACTGAGTTCAAATTAAAAACTTTCAACTAATTTAAATGTACAATTAAACACAAATAATTATTTCAAACTCTCAAGAGATTTCTTCAAGGCCTAAACGCTCATAAAGTTTTACATTGAGATTAATTAAGAATATTGGATATTTACATAAAAAACCACACAATTGATGATATATTTAATAAGAATGTGAAACGATCTACGGTTTTCAGACTATTAGAATATATTTTTGTTGTTCACATTCTTATAAAAAAATCAACATCAGACGTATCAATTATATCCTGATATTTTTATTACAAATTTTCAGAAAAAAAGGCTGGTGGCAACAAAGGACTTCACTGGAGAAAACTCTGACAGCGTCCTTTTGTATTGCTGTTATAGTAGCGCTCGCTTTTATGATTACACTTATTATTGTCGGAGTTAATAGCGGTGACAATAATGACGGCATTTGTCTCACTCCAACATGTATTCAGGAATCTTCAAGTGTTATTTCAAATATGAACCTGGCAGCTGATCCGTAAGTCTATAAATTTAACGCAAACAAATTTATCTCAAGTGGTTTTTTTTCTTTTTAAGATGTGATAACTTTTTTGAGTTTGCCTGTGGTACTTACTTGAAGGTAAATTTACTGCAAGCGATAACATTTTAATATTTATTGGTCTACTTATAAATTTTCAGGAAACTTTGATACCAGATGATAAGTCGACAGTTTCTGCTTTTAGTATAATCGATTCTAAAATGAAAGAACAACTTCGAGCAATCGTAATTGAACCGATTTCTGATAACGAAGCCATGCCATTTCAAAATCTTAAAAAGTTTTATCAAGCATGTTATAATACAGACACAATTGAAACACTCGGAACTTCACCAATTACTGCAGTTTTCAATCAACAAGGTAATTGGCCTGTTACTGTACAAAACTGGGATGAATCTTCATGGACATGGGAAAATGCAATCGCTATGGCCAGTTCGTTTGGCTATTCCCCAAGTTACATCTTTTCCTTCTCAATATCAACCGACAACAAAGAATCAACAAAACGCATTATAAGAGTAATATTTAAATCATTAACTAAACAAACTATTTCAATCAGTAATTAATCTATAATTTAGATTGATCAAACAAGTTTGGGACTTGCACGTGAATATTTGATAGAAGGAAGAACTGAACCATTTGTTCAAGCTTATCATGATTATCAAATTGATTTAGCTATGATGATGGGAGCGACAAGGGAAGCTGCGGAAACTCAAATGGCAGATGCTTTAGACTTTGAAACAAAACTTGCAGAGGTACTTATGAACACATTGAAGTTTAACATGAACTAACAAATTGTTATCTCTGATAGATTTCTATCCGTCGTGAAGACAGAAGAGATGCCGAAGCTTTATATAATTTGAGACAAATATCTCAATTGCAAGCTGACTATGATTATCTCGATTGGTTGAGTTACTTCAACAGCATCATGCCTGAAGACACGCAATTGACTAGTGATGACACTGTCATTGTTTCTGTTTTATCCTTTTTTGAAGATCTTAGAGATATCATTCTAACTACTCCTAAAAGAACGATTGCAAACTACATTATGTGGCGTCAAGCATTTTCTTCTGTTAATTATCTTCCAAGTACTTTTAGAGCTCGACAACAAGAATACAACAGACTCACTACTGGAAGTGTCACGCAGAAATCACGATGGTTAGAATGTGTGGATACAACTTTAAGCTTCTTCCCTCATTCTTTCGGAGCTCTATACGTTCGTAAGCATTTTAATGAAGAGGCAAAAGGAAAAGCATTAGAAATGGTCATGAATATTAAAAATGAATTCAATATCATTCTTAACGATATTGATTGGATGGATGACATTACGAAAGAAGCCGCAATAGATAAGGCTGAGAGAATGAAAGAACAAATAGGATTTGCAGATGAATTGCTTGACGATGAGAAACTTACTGAATATTACGACACGTTTGATGCGACAATTGATGAGACTAAATATTACGAATCAGTTTATGGTCTGACGGGATGGAATGTCGCTTCAGCCAAAAGAAGTCGATCAAGATTGCGCGAACCTATTGATAAAGATGAATGGAGCAGTGAAGTTACACCAGCAGTTGTTAATGCTTTCTACTCATCTTTGGAAAACACAATAAAATTCCCAGCTGGAATTTTACAAGGTGCTTTCTTCAATGCTGAACGTCCTCAATACATGAATTATGGTGGAATTGGATTTGTTATTGGACATGAAATAACGCACGGGTTTGATGATCAAGGAAGTTTATATGATGCTGATGGAAATTTGAAAAACTGGTGGGCGAATTCCACACGTGACGCATATTTGGAAAAAGCAAAATGCATTATTGAACAGTATGGAAATTATCTTGAGCCTCTTACATCATTATATGTTAATGGAATTAACACCCAGGGTGAAAATATTGCTGATAATGGTGGAATAAAGGAATCTTACCAAGCTTACGTAAGATGGGCCAAGGATAATCCTGAACAAAAAATGCCTGGTCTTGATTATACACCGGAACAAATGTTTTGGATATCTGCCGGTCAAATTTGGTGTGCAGTTTATCGTGAAGAATCAATGAAAAGCAGAGTGCAAACTGGTGTTCATTCACCTAGTCAATTTAGAGTTAATGGTCCAATGAGTAATTCAGAAGAATTTGCTCGAGATTTTTCATGTCCCCAAGGTTCTAATTTGAACCCTGTGAAGAAATGTGCAGTTTGGTAAGATCGTGTAAAAATTTATTCAGTTATTTGTTAACACAATAACTAATCGTCTTGCTTATGTTATTGAATGTTTTAATTGTCAAAATAAAAAATAAATTTTAAACCAGTGAGTCTTTTTCTATTACTTTCATATTCTTTTTTATTAAATAAATTTCAGACAACACTTTAGATTATTGATGTTCATTCTTTTTCAATTTGAGTGAATGATTCAGATAAAAGATTGCATTTAAATTTTTAAAATGGCTCACCTTTATTAATTAGATTACGCACTACTCGCTATCATAAATTCCAACTTTAAAAACTTTCTTGTAAACATCTGAGTTCATGAACTTTGAATATTCAGAATTTTGATCTTTAGCTCTTTCTTCTTGTTTCAAAAACTCGGGACAAGCTTCATAAGGTCGCAACAAAATGCTTTGATTACTTTCAGCTTTTGCATTGATAACTCCTTCAGCATTTGGTCCAAATAAACCTTCAGCAAATGCTTTGTAACTTGCTTCAGTTCGTTGAGTGTCAGTGAATCCAAACTTAAATTTGTCTCTCGAAAACCTTGGTTCGATTAAATTTTGAAAAGTTCTTTGAAATTCAATTGCCATGTATTTCATATCATTCCAGCCTTGAACTGTCAAATACTCAGCATAAGCTGCTGTTAAGTTCTGATCAAATCGCCATTTCTTCAAAAGTTCAAGATCATCGCTACATAATTGATTCAAATGACGATCACGATCATATCGTTTGAAATTTTCAAGAACAGCGTCGCGAACCTGAAAAATAATTTGAATTGAAATTTTTGTTTAATAGTTTTCACTTTTTCACCTCTGTTAAGNAAAAGCACAATGCATTATTGAACAGTATGGAAGTTATCTTGAGCCTCTTACATCATTATATGTTAATGGAATTAACACCCAAGGCGAAAATATAGCTGATAATGGTGGAATAAAGGAATCTTACCAAGCTTACGTAAGATGGGCCAAGGATAATCCTGAACAAAAAATGCCTGGTCTTGATTATACACCGGAACAAATGTTTTGGATATCTGCCGGTCAAATTTGGTGTGCAGTTTATCGTGAAGAATCAATGAAAAGCAGAGTGCAAACTGGTGTTCATTCACCTAGTCAATTTAGAGTTAATGGTCCAATGAGTAATTCAGAAGAATTTGCTCGAGATTTTTCATGTCCCCAAGGTTCTAATTTGAACCCTGAGAAGAAATGTGCAGTTTGGTAAGATCGTGTGAGAAATTTATTCAGATATTTTTTAACACAATAACTAATCGTCTTAGCAATGTTATTGAATGTTTTAATTGTCAAAATAAAAAATAAATTTTAATTTAGTGAGTCTTTTTCTATTACTTTCATATTCTTTGTTATTAAATAAATTTTAGTCAACACTTTAAATTATTGACCAATTTTGTAATAAAAAACTATCTTCTAACATAATACCTAACTACCTACTTAGGTATTTCGAGCTACTGGTAAAAAGATAAGTTTCACTTGATAAGGTGGTTTTGTAGTACTCGAAGATAGGGAAATTAATGTAACGGTTATATTTTCAAATTTTTTGTTTTGGGACTGTAACTTCTTTGCATCTCTCCCTTCCCCTTTTAAAGGGAAATCTGTCGAAGTTGCCAGTAAAACAAAAAAAATTGGTGGCATAAAACTAGTTTTTCGAAGCATTGAAGTCTAATAAATAATTGAATTGTATTTTAAACATACTACAAACATGTCGGATCAAGATTTTTCAAAACTAAAGGTTCGATAGTGTGAAATTTATACTATTTTATAAACTTAACCAATGTTTTGTTTACTTTGTATTTTATTAGGTGGCCGAACTAAGAGAAATGCTGAAAACGAAAGGATTAAACACAGTTGGAAATAAACAAGAACTTGTTGAACGACTTCAATCAGCTGTATCAGAAAGTAGCAGCGAGATTCTAAATGAAGATGATCTTCTTAATGTAAGTTGAAAATTTTTTTTGAAGAAACTCACATAATTATGAATTTTCTTAAATAAAGGATGATGAGTTAGAAGACGAAAAATCCCTTCTGGAATCAACAAATGACACATTTAAATCTCCATCTGTTTCTGTTAAATCCACATCACCTGAAAGTGTCATAGTTCCTGCAAAAAAGGTATCATTGAAGCGAAATATATCAGTCTCTGTTCCTGTCATTGAATTAAAGCCTGATGACGAAAAAGAAACAATAACATTTGAAGAATCATCAAACGAGCCTGAAAAAAAAGTTGTCAAAATTTCGGAATTATCATCAAAAGATCGTTTGGAACTTCGCGCTAAAAAGTTTTCTATCACTGCACCGATAAATGATAAAGATGATCGTTTACAAGCTCGCGCTGCTCGTTTTGGTATTTCTTCAACCACATCGACAACAACTCCACAGACAACTACCAAAAATGAAACAGATTCATTGTCTTTAGAGAAGTTAAAGAAACGAGCTGAGCGTTTTGGAACAGTTCTGGTTCCCGAACTTAAGAAATCAGAATGGCAAGAGAAACTTCAGAAGCGTCAAGAGCGCTTTGGTATTTCAGAAAAATCGCCAAAAATATCTTCAAAATCTGATAGTGGATCAGATTATGCTGAGAAAGCTGCAAAGCGATTAGAACGTTTCAAACAAACTGCTTAGATATTTATACTTTTGATCTTTAAATATCTACTTTTTCTGTGTTTTTTAAAAAAGTAATAAAATAATAACGATAAGTTAAAAAGAAATCTTTTCTGGACTTTTTTATCATTAGATATTACATAAAAGAATACCTACATAGAATAATAGCGAAACGAAGTATATTTGATTAGAATTATTTTTATTTAATTCAGTGAGGGAAAACTTCTAAAATCTAACGAGAAAAAACAATTCTTAGTCCCAAGCTTCACTACATTTTAAGTGAATTAAGCGATCTTCTATTTTTATATGAGGTTTAAATGGTGGTTTAATCGGGTTGTTATTCCAAAAATTTAACTTCGCCTCTGTCTTTCCAAGATCTTTAGCATGGCCCTGGGATTGTTCCTAAACAAATAAATAAAGTTAAAATATACAATTGTGAAGAAAATCACATTATTTAAATTACCAGAGTAATGTAAGGTTTCAATAAATATTTCATGTTTTGTTCCTGAATTTCGTACTTTCTTATTAACTGATTCATTGTTTTCCTAGTAGGCTGCATAACAAGACGACGTTTTCCTCGAAAGACATGTCCAGGAACTGTTCTTTTGAAGAAATTTATTAATGTTAAATGCATTTTTCTTGACTCAAAGCCAAAACACAAGAACCATGTGGCCCCTTTGTAAAGCTTGCTATTTTTGTGAAAGCCTCGTACCCATCTTCATATAATATTGGCCGGGTTTTTGTTTATGACGTCTCGAGATAATTGCCTCGTGCCCCGACGGTTCGCGCGGATTTGACCTTCCATACAAAATGTACAGAAGTGTCCGTGTAAACATTTTGTCCGTGTAAACATTTCGATCGTAGCGCCGCCACTGAAACGTTCTCGGACAAAAGATCAATCAAAGTTACTCTGATTCCGTGCAAGTAAAAATTTCCGTGCAAGAAATTTGCGATGGCAGCGCCGCCAATGATTAAAACTCTATAGAACTATAGAAAATATTAAAAAGTAAAATATAAATTATAATATGGATTGCTCTCCCAAGTCTGAAGATTTAAAACATAAGTCAAAGCATAGTTTATCGCCTTCTCCGTCATCTTCGACTAAAAAACATCGTAGAAAGGTAAATACAGAAACATACATTGTCAAATATTGATTCCCTTAAAAGTTTTCCACCAAATCTAAATTTAGAAAAAAATGGAAATTCACACCTTCATAATTTCATTCATTTCCTCCTAGAAATATCTATATGAATTTATTTAATTGTTATTATGACTGAATATGACAGCATTTATTAATTCATGTTTATCAATTTTTTCCGTTGATCAAAAATCGTGTTACATTTCCGATTTTCTTTAAAAACAAAAAAATACTTAGAGATAAAGAAAATAAAATTGATAAGAAATAAGATGTTACGATGACGCGAAGCAAGACTTGACCGTGAGTATAATTTGTAGACCCTTGAAGCACGCACGATCTTCATCTTGCCATGAGATAAGTCTATGAAAGTCCGTGTTTTTAAATTGATTGAAAAAAGCCCTAAATATGAAAGAATTCTGATGTAAGTAACAAAAGTTTTTTTTTTGTTTAATTGAAATGATTTCTAATTAGACATTCTCTGCTGACATTCATGACATGATGATTGTTGATTTCATGCAAATTATTTCAGCAATCATCTAAGCCTTTCTCACAAGAAACAAACACACTTCGATCATCCTGTAAACGCAAATTCTAATATTTTTTTCCAACTTTCCAGATCTTTATTGGTTTATGTTTTTTGTTTCACAGGATCGCGATCACGAGAAGAGTTACAAACGTCGTAATTCTCGTGATGAGTATGAGAAGGTGAGATTTTTAACAACTTTTAATTCCTAAGTGGTTACTTAAACGTTTATGTTTGTTCTGCTTCAGTCAAGACGACGTTACAAAGACGAGGATGATGATTACTGCAAAAAAGGAGGGCGTGAAGAGAGACATTATAGAGATAGAAGAAGACATGATGATGATAATAATTTGAAAAGCAGACGAAACAAAGATCGTAAAAGTGATGATGAAGAATACAGTCGAACCAAAAAGGATGAATATCGTAAACGAGATGATAGTGAAGATGAGAAAAGTAGTCGTAGAACCAGTCACAGCAGTGACCACAAAAAGGATAAAAGAAGATCCGTTGAGCGCCGCCATAATAAAAGCAAAAGCAGTCGAAGAGAAAGAAAACGAAGTCGCTCGCGATCTCAAGAGAAATCATCTCGTCGTCGACGATCTTCTAGCAGTGACAGCAGCAAGAGTACTGAAATAAATAAAAACATTCAACAACCAAAGGAAAGTTTCACAAAGAAAAGCTCGCCTATTGCTTCATCATCTTCATCTCCTCAAAAATCACCGCTGATCTCATTAGTTCCGGCTGTGCAACAACCACAACCAACAGCACCGTCTGTTGAACTTCCAGCTTACTACAACCCGAATGTCATCAATGTTAACAAATTTGCTGAACAGCAAAAGAAGAGAAAACTCATTTGGAGCGGAAAGAAAGATGAACCAGTTGATGCAACAAAATGGGGTGCAGCGAAGTTTTCTCAAGACGAAGATGGTACAAAAGCAAGCAAATTCATGCGGCTGATGGGAATCAAAGATGGTAAAATTATTTAATTATATTAATTACTAAATTAACAACCTTAATTTCTTAGCACCAAAAGTTAAAGAAGCAACAGCAAAACCTTCAGATGAAATGTTCTCAACAATGGAACAACAATATGAAGTTGCAAGGCAGGTTACCCATATCTCTCGTGGCGTTGGCCTTGGTTTTAAAAATTTTTGATTTCCCGAAATCATTTAAACGAATAGGTACTTTGAAATCCTCCAGCAGCGAGAAAGTTTTTTACTGCTAATGCATTCACCTGAAATAAGGAATTGAAGAAAAATTACATGAAGATATAAGTTTTTTACTTTTACCTGAGAATCCGAGTGTTGAAGTGTTTTCACTGATGTGGTTGAATGTGGTGACCAAATTTTTATTTATGATCATATCCAAATTGTCGCTAAAATTGGCTCATAGACATTTGACTTGTATTCATATTCTTCACGCTATTTTTTTCTAAATACAGTTAAACTTTGATAAACAGATATTTCAAGGGACACAAAAAAATATCTGTTAATCGAGGATATCTGCTTATCAAGAATTCGAGGGTGTTGAAGAAATATAAAAATATATTTTTAAGCCCGACAATCCCCGATATTAGGG